TTTCTGACCCTTGGCATGACACACCATGTTTGGTAACTGATCTGCCCCACCAAGTGGCTTTGGATATACTTCAACTACACAGCTGCCTGCTTTATGTCATTCCAGACAGCCTACAGACTCCTGGAGAATTTCTTCCTGGCAGAATAACCAAAGTCCAGGAAAGGATTTGGAATCTCTGATTTGTTGATTTGCTCATAGTGGTGGATTGGCATTTAGGAAAAAAAAAGTGAGGAACACCCATGGAAGTGATGGCTCTGAGAGAGGCTGCTGGGAGTTTCTTCTCTGCCTGAGACCTGACAGTATTGTTCACCACTGAAAAGTGATACCACCTTTGTGACTACATACCACTTTTTAAACCTAAACCCGGGAGCTTCTGGCTCTCTTCTGTTTCTGGCCCTGAAAGTTAACAGAGCTCTACTGCAGCTGCCCCCTCCTCACCTCGCAGCCTGTCGGGAGGGGGCTGAGCCGGACCCCAGCGGCTCCCGGGTGGGGGACTGACACAGGCCAGGGATTTCCGGGCCTGCTCAGATCGGTTTTCTATTTCTCTCTGGCTCGGGCCAGGAGGGGCCCGAACCAAGGCTACTGTTTGAGCCCCAGCTCGGGTTTGAGCTTTTCAGCCCCTCTTTGAACACGCGTCTCTGAGGTCAGGCGAAGGAATGAGGGGAGGACTCTTCTGGTTTGCAGTTCACAGATTTATTCTGTAAGGGGAAATCCAGGAGGAATTACAAAGGATAGGGGGTCTGACCGTCTCCTTTTAAAGGGTTAACGCCTCGGGGGGTTGGGAATTGTGAGAGCGTTAGAAATTACAGCTGGCGAGCACACAAACTTTCCACAAATAAAATACCGACAGGTAAAGATAAACAGTAACGCAGATAGGAATTCTCTAATTAATTTCCGAGGATTAGGGGCTTTTCCAAGACGGGGTGGAGCCGCGGGGCAGGGATCCACTGGGCGAGCCTTTGCCGCTGGAGCCCAGGGAACTGGAAACACGGGGAAAAGCGGCAGAGACACCGCGCCGGGGCCGGAGGAACAAAAAGCGGATCTGCAGCGGATCGCCCGCCGGGGCCCCGACAACAAAGGAGCAGCTGCCCCTCGGCTGTGCGGGCCGGCCGGAGGGAAAATGGAGACAGACACAGCACGGGGAGAAACGCGAGCTGAAGCCGGAGCCCGGGGTCTCGTGGGCCAGGGCCCGTGAGAGCGAACCCGCTGAGGGGGAAGGCGGCGGCGGCGCGGGGAGGGGATTACACAGTGACACCGGCGGAGCGGGGAGGGGATTACACAGTGACACCGGTTCACGGCGAGGGGATTACACAGTGACACCGGTTCACGGCGAGGGGATTACACAGTGACACCGGTTCACGGCGAGGGGATTACACAGTGACACCGGCGGAGGCGCGGGCCCGCAGGCAGTGGGGGCGGCAGGCACAGCCGCAGCCGCGGGAAACGGGGAAGGGGCGGGGAGAACCCGGCAGAAGCGCCAATCGCGGCAGCGAAGGAAAAACAAACAAACACAAAAGCCTCTAACCTAGCTGGCAAACTAAAAATTCCGCCACAACAGGGGATGGAGGCTGCGGGGTCTCGATGCCGGGTTTTCCCGAGAAGCCCACTGGGTCCTGTAGCAGCAGAGTGGCCGAAGCTCTTCCCAGGGGCCCCCGGACAGCTGCTGAACTCGCCAAATCCCCACCATGGCCCGCACACACAGCTCTGAACCGAGAACTGTCTGCTCCTTCCCTGCGGCAACTGGGCTGAGAGACACCTGAAATCCAACACCATGAATACCTGTCGTGGTTTGGGCCAGAAATTTAACCCTTCACCACCTAGATGAGACCTGCAGATTTAATCCCTTTCCAGAGAGAGGAAAGTGAGAGTGATCAACATGTAAAGAGATAACATAAACCATCAGAGTCAGTAAAAGAAGGAGTCGAGCCTCAGTTGGAAGAATGAGATGCTTTAATAAGCTGAAATATTCTTTTGGTAAGGCCATGGAGATGGATAATAATGTTCTAAAAAACCCCTTTAATTCATGAAAGAGTATTTGGGGGAAATGAAGTATTTCAAAGTGTAGATCTGAGCAAAGGTATCCATCAATGAAGCTAAGCAGATGGGGGGGTAGTTGTGATCCCATGAGATGCTGGAACAGAGAGAGAAGTGAGAGTTGATGAAGACCCTTGGCCCCCAGGAAGAAAAAGAGAAAACATCTGTTCCCAGAGATGATCACAGAGACAGATGAAGAGAACCTTGGCCTCCCTCATGGGAATGAAATCCATGAGAAAACTGTTTTCTTGTGGAGAACTCTCCATGGAATGACAAGAGAAAACTCTTCTCCATACAAACGCTGATGAAAAAACTATTATATAATTGGTATTGCTTTAACATCCCAAGTTTTGTCTCTGTTGGCAGCTGAGAAAGGAAAAAGTTGGGGGTTGGGCGGGGCAGGGGAAGAAAAGGTTTCTGGAGGTTTTATTCTGGTTTCTTATTCTTGTAGTTCTGTTAATAAACTTTCTTTATTCCTTTTAAGTTTTAAGCCTGTTTTGCCCTTCTCCTAATCCATATCTCACAGCGGTAAATGAGTAAGTACACCGGTGATTCTTAGCCAGTGCTAAAAACTACCACACTCATATGACTACAAATCCCGGCACACACTGTGCAGGGGACATTGCATTTTTAAGTACTGACTTCCACTATCACTGGCTTGCAGAGTGCTCCTGTGCCAGACACAGAAAAGGCTTTCTTCCTGCTTTGATCCAGGTGCAGATGCAGGGAAATGGAGCATTACATATTCCCAGCTGTTCATGATCATGGGCTTTAAGTCATGCACATTTCAAAATCAGATTTCACTTGTTGCAGACTTCTGAGGACTTAACTTCCTATGCTGCAGTGTGAACCAAGACAAGATGAAAGGCTCAGCACCAAGACCAAAACTCCATCCTTCTGTTATTTTCTCTTGAATTGCATGACTAGGACTAAAATAAATTTAATATTTCCCATCCTTTGCTAACTGAATGAGATGCTCTAAGCTAAAAATTAGAAAGGCAAAAGCCCACACTTCAAAACAGTAAATCTAATTAAATTCAAATTTCACACTAATACATTACAGCATATTTTATGTATATAGAGTAAAAAGATTTAAAAGATAACTGAATTACCTGAGAATTTTTTTTATCAAATAATTGTTATATTAAGACAATTCACACACACAAGATACTTCAAACAATTATTTTTAACAAAGTATTGTATGTAGTTCACAAGGTTCATCCTTGGGAAAAACATATTTTAGGAAATATTGATGCGACACCATTTTTCTTAGGTTTTCTGTTTAGCAGACACATCCCACCTGAAAAACGCCATGACTGAGCACAGTTCCAAGTAGAACAGGAAAATGTTACACCTCTGAGATGGATGGTCACAAGTTGTAGCAAACTGCTATGAAAAGCTAATGCTCAGCGACAGTCTCTGCACCTATCCCTCAAAAATAACAGCAAACTACACCAGCAGTGACACTGTGAGGAGACACCTGAGCAGGCTCTGGCACAAGGAGTTGCAGGTAGAGCCCCAGGTCCATGCTTAGGCTCCTGGATCACCCATGTTTCTGATACGGGGTACACTGTGCACAGGGCATGGTCACAGACCCCCTGTGCATACACCAGCCCCAGACCCACAGCCAGGTCAGCCATTCCTTCCCATCTTCTCACACAGCCAAAGACCATTCTCCACTCCATCAGGGCTCCCCAAGGCTTGTCCTCAATCCACCCTTCCCTCAGCAAAGTTACTCACCATGACAAGGACCATGACTTCTTGTCCATTTGAAACCTTTGCACTCTCACCAGGAGCTCTGCCTCAGGGTCTGACTTGTGCCCCTGAGCCTCAGCAACAGACCTACCCACTCCAGCTGGGGTCTGGCCATCCCCCGCAAGCCTCCTACCCTTTGTGCCCCTTCTGGAGGCGGTTTGCTGTAATACCACTTCATCAGGCTCATGATCACTTCCAGGTGATGGTTCCCTGCCAGCCCTGTCCAGTAACAAGGTGCACCTGACCCTCTTTAACTCCTCTCACTGAAACACACATGCTGAAAATTATGTATTACCTACCATTTGAGCACCCAAGTTGTTAAAAGTTTGAAGTTTATGTAAAAACATAAAAATCATATGTAAAAACATTTATGTGAACAATACAGAATGTCAGCTAGTTACAGTGACCATACAGAAATGAGAGAAGGAAAAGAAACGCCTAAGTTATTTGATTAATTGTTAAATATATACCTTCTTTTCCCTGCACATACAAATTCCTTGATTTACATAAAAACGTAGATAGGAACAATACCTCTTACTAAAAGATAAAAGGAGCAAGCGAAAGTAAACGGAGTAGAAGAGCACAGAGCAGAGGCGAGGGCAGGAATAGCAGAGCTGCTGGGGTCGGCTGTGGCCGCGCTTACCTCGCTGCCGAGGGTGCGGGACACCGGGCTGCGCTGCGGGGACCTCGATCCTGAGGGGGAAGCTCAGCCCATCGGGCCCATCAAGGGCCACACGGCGAGCCGGTGCCACGGCGGCGCCTCCTCCACAGCCCCAGAGCGGCTCTGCCGCCGCCTTGGCCTCGATGAGCCCCCCTCACCCCCAGCGGGGCAGGGGCGGCACCAACCCGGCCCGCTCCCGCCGGCCCGGGCCCGCTCCCCGCCGCTGAGGGGCGGCTGCTGCGGCCCGCGGGCCTCCGCGGCTGAGGGACCTCGCCTCAGGCCCCGCTCCCGGACTGGGGGAAACAGACACTCACCCCCGTCCTGCTTTCCAACATTTTATTAGTAAATCACAATAACAAATATCTCCGCTATTTTTGACAGGCTGTAGTATTTACAGGCACACAAAAAATCCCCCAAACCAACAAACAAAACAACAAAAATATGTCTATTAAAAAAAATCACTGCTAAAATAAGAATCAAAATAGCCAAATAGGCATACTTTAAGAAAAATACTTGTGGTCTTTTGTGGGTTTTTTTATTGTGCTTTATCTTTTTTTTTTTTTCCCCAGACTATCGCTTCATTTCTCTCCAGGTTCCCTACTGCAAAACAGAGTAACACATAGAAAATAGATTTTTTTTTTTCTCCCAGCAAGATTCTGTAACACAAATTCTTTTAATGTTCCATTTTCTTCCATGTCTTTCTCTTTCTTTTGGCCCCTTACTGAAAGGAACCTGTAGGTGGTTGTTCAAAACCCATGGGTGATGAATTCAGACCAAGCCCTGCAGTGAGCAGGTGTTGTGCCAGCACTGGAAGCAGCACAATTGCACTGTGCTGCCCTGAGCGGGCTGAGCTTCACCCCATGGAACAGACAGGGCCATGGACACAGCTGGGAAAACACTGTAAAGCTTCCTCATGCATCACCAACATTAGTCCTGAGAACAAGAGATTCTACACTCACAGCATGCTCCTACCTGGAACAGGCAGGAGATAGTTTGGCTGGACAGGAGTGCTGCATGTTGTGGGTTCTGTGCAATGAAGTTGCTTGGGAGCCATGTGGAATGACTGAATGCCAGAGAGAACAACCTGGCCTTAGCTGACATGAGCACAAAGATGACTGAAGACTGAACAGTGAGATGTCTGTAATGTCTCTGTTAAAATACCACCTTACGTCTTTATAAATGTAGAATCAATAAGCCAGAGCTTCACACAGCCTTGCACTCCTCTGTCTGCCTTTCTACTGTGTCCCATCTTTCTTAGTAGTTGCCAGGATTTCACATGAGAATGACCCCATTTCCATGGGAGCACAGTCCTGATCCAACAACCTATTTTAACAAGGACCCAATTTTTAGAAGTGTCATTTACATACACATGCCACAATCTCAAATTTGGAAACCAAAGATGTTTTTAAAGTCTAGAAACTCATAAAAATACCACTGGCTTGGAGTCTGTTTCTTTTCCACATCCTTGGGAAAGCAGGAAGCAAAATTTGGAAAGTAAGCTGGGTGTTTTTTTATCCAAATATATATTCTTAGTGTTCTGTTTATGAAACAGACACTCCATGACGCTGCCATGGTTTGTCCGGTTGGCAACTAGGTCCCAAACAGCCCCTCACTCACCTTCCCCTGGCCCTGGTGGGGAGGAAAATTGGAAAGCAAACCTCAAGGGTTACTTTGAGATAAGAACAGTTTTGTAATTTAACTAAAACAAAATATAATAATAATAATAATAATAATAATTAATAATAATGGAAAGGAAAAGAGAAGAATAGAATCCAGGAAAGACAAGTGATGCATAACACAATTGTTCACCACTCATGGGCCAATACCCAGCCCATCCCTGAGCAGTGACCTGTGTCTCTCAGCCAATTCACCCCAGTTTACACACTGAGCATGACATTCCATGGGCTGGAATATCCCTTTGACCATTTTGGGTCAGCTGTCCCTGGCTATGGTCCCTCCCAGCTTTTTGTGCACCTCCTCACAAGCAGAACATGGGAAACTGAGAAGTCCTGACTTACGGTAATCACTACTTAGCAACAACTAAAACATCACCATATTACCAACAACATTATTTTCATACTGAATCTAAAACACAGCACAGTACCAGCTACTAAGGAGAAAATTAACTATATTCCAGCTGAAATGAGGATATACTGAAACCTCAGGTTTCCCTGTTACTGCTCCCTCTTAATACATACATTACTGCAACACTTTTTGAGGATTCTGTCTCAAGAATTACACAGGGAGTTCAGAAATACACCTTTTAACTGAATATGTAGAGAAGCCCATGCCCTGCACCTTATCCCTTGACCAGCACACATCACAGGCTATGGCAGCACAAGATACAAAATAAAAAAATTAAAGAAGTAGTATAAAAATGCAGTGCCATATTTGCAGAAACATTTACTCTCCAGCCTCCACAATTCATATATCCACATTCTCTTTCCTTTCCTCCATCATTCCCAGTCCAGGATCACCTCCATGTCCCTTTCATTTCACCCCCTCCTTCATTTTATGTTTCTTCCATCAAATCCTACATTCTGCCTCTCTCCTCCAAAGCTTCTCATAAATTTCCTTCCTTTCACAGAAGTAATTTCTTATCAACTGCATTTTAGTCTCTAAGCAAGGATACAAAGTTACAAATAAAAGCAGCATATTTTTATTTCTATCTTAGAAACTGGAAGCCATCAAAATTAAACTGATACTAGTTTTCAACACCTGCTCCAAAACCTTAGCCTAGAGGTGACAGGTGTAAAGCCAACAAAATCAGTTTCCTCATCCATCTATAGTTGTTTCTAATAGACTTGCTTTCTGATTTTTAATTCCTTAAATGGCAAAATAAATAGAAACTTCTAATAGCAAATATATTCAATGAAAAAAATACCCTATGCACATTTTTTGGTACCAATTGAACAATACTGGCTTAGAAACTAATATAGTTAAAATGATGCAACTTCCCTGTGCAAAGATGTTACATCAATATCAAAGTGCTTATTCCTCAATTTTGGATACAACTCCCTGAATAAAATACAGATGTCTGCAGTCTGGGTTCCATGTAAACAGCACCTGTACAAATAGGTGTTAACAAGTCTCCAATTTGCTGACAATAAAAATATTGATGATAATAATAACAAAGTCTAATAAAGACTATTTCTTCACATGCCTTAGCTTTCTAAATGCCCTTTTGTTTGGTAAGGCACCTGTCATCACTCTGTGAAAATGTATTTGGGTGCATGTAAATCACCACAGAATTTTTTTCTCTTTTTCATCCAAAAATTGCCTTGGCCTACCTCAGTGCCGCAGTCAGTTGTACTCCCAGTGACAAAGGGAGTTGTGCTAATCCCCAGCCAGACAAAATGGCCAGAGCACAGTTCTTGTTGCATTTCAGAACTATTTACTGCCACGTTCACAAAATCAAGGTTATGGTATGTTATGTCACTGTGATTTTCTCTTCAGTTACAGCAATAACAGAATACTGCACACAGTGAACAAAACCTGTCAGATACCTGCCATCAAATATTTATGCTATTAATAAATATAAAAATTGAATTAAAAAAAAATCTTTAAGACTCACTAGAAATTTCCCTGATCATAATAGTAACGCACACAGTCTTAACCACTGTGCAGAAAGTTAATTATTCTGCAGTAAAAGATTATCAGTAGGAACCCCACACCCTGACTGGACTCAACATCAGAAATAGACTGAAGTATCACTGAAACACTCAACATATAAAAGGACTCCAGCTGGTGCTTGTGTTGCAGGATTTCCCTGGGAATCTTGATTCCAAATTTTCTAAAATGCTCAGTAGGCATTTAAGACCATCATCCAGTTGTTGGTGCAGTTTGAGAAGCAAGAAGCAAGGATTCAGACAAGTCCAAGTCTGCTGCCAGGGCTGCTTGCTTCAGCAAGGATGAAAGTTTCCTGCCTCCTGGCCATGGAATTCTCATCCCATTATGATAGGCTGCTTCTCCTCTGAAGAGGCACTTTTCTTTGTGAAAGATCCTCACTGTCACTTTCACAGTTTCTCTGAAATAGAAAGGCCACAAAGTCTCTGTCGTGTAAATGGGATAACATGCTCTTAAACATACTGTCCCAGTATTATCAGTATCATCTACTGAGAAGAGCAGAGCTAATAGAGCTCTCACATTTTCACTCCAGAAGGTCACAGGCAGTGCCAGGGTCCCCCACCCTCCATCACAGAGCTGGCCACAAGAGCAGTGAGGTTCCCTGTGACTGCTTGGATCTCAGTCACACCCCATGGTTACTGCCTCGGATCCGGACATCATCTGCAGGCTCCTTGCTGCTGCTTTACACAATAAATGCGCTTAGCCCCCAGAAGGTCTACCAAGGCGCTGGCTCTCCCTGCACAAGATTCCTGTTGCAGTAACAGAACATACAGCAGCATTAAAGACACAAATGATGCCATGGTCCCATCTAGTTTCCCTCTCCAAGCCACTGCTCTCCTGTTGGGCTGTTCATTCATATAAGGACAGCAGAAATGACTGCACAGTAAGACCGGTTCTTCTTCCTGTGTGAGGAATGTACCTACCGAACTCTCATCTTGGGTCAGGACCTTCTTCGCCAGCGAGTACGATAAGTGGTTGCACAGAGAAACAACACGGTATGAAAGCTGTGCAGAGAGGGAGGAAAACCAATTTGACCATAAATACTCAGTGTAGACATATTCAAACACATTTCATTAATTTACTGCCTATTACAATTTTACATTGAAGCTCTATCTTGCCCTCTGATTCCATCAGGCTTGGGAAGCCACATGTGAGAAGGATTAAAGGCTCATTGCCATACCTTCCATCGCCTTCTAGCATATTGCCTTTTGAAGTTTTCCATGTTAACAACAGATGATTTCCGAACCAAAGCCTGTTGCTTGTCCATAGGCTGGAAGATAAAAGAGTAATTTTATTGTTTGGCTCCCTTTGGTGAATAAAATATGCAAGATACCTCATGTGGAGCTGGCTGAAAGAAAGCCAGGGAAGCTGCGGATTCACACAGGTAAAAGCAGAAGAAAAAGAACTAAATCTAGCCCACTCTGGGTATAAACAGATCGCAAATAAAATCCTAAAACTAGCAGGTGCTAAGGCTATGCTTTCATTTTGTAAAGTTGTTAAGGTGCTTCTTGTGTATACCTGCCCCATCTCCCTTCCTTCTCTGCATGACATCACTGTAATAAAATGGAACAAAAGGTATCTGTCATGTAGTATTAGTGACAAGGATAATGATATCTGCAAAAATCTCCAGCTTTGTCCTTTAACCATAGCCAGAGTAAGAGAGCACAAGGCATTGACACCCTGGCAATAAAATAATTGCAGTATCTAACTACGAAAAAATAGGAACAAAAAAGAACATAGATCAGGATTCAGATATGTACCTAGTGTCACCCTGAGAATCAAAGCTTCTGATACTGTTTTTCATAGTTTCTAGACACTTTCCCAGGAAAGCAACTATAAACATAGATGTTTATATATTCCATTAAAGATATGTCTTTTGATGGACATTTCTCACGACCACAGTGGTTGGGAAGGTGGTAACCTAACTATTCAATCCCTGGTCGTTGTCGAGAATCTATAAATACTGAAGCGACAGAATAAAGTCTTCTTCCTTTATCCCACATTGAGTGGTGTCTGTGTGAATCATTTCATGTCCAACAGTGACATGCCTATCATTTTGGATGTCAACCTGGTGTTAAGGAACAGATGTTCCACAAAACCTGACACAGTCCTTCAGAAAATGAAGCACATTTCAATTCCAAAAGCACATGAAAATTTGCATAAACCATAAAACCAAATCTGACAGATTGAGAGAAAAAATGGTTCAGAACCAGATCAGGCAAGAGTGAAAAGAGAAAGGCCAGGACTCAGCCCTTTAGGAGTATGGAGTTTCAACCATCCCAGCTGTTTTGATCTGCATATGTAGGAGGTGGATAACACAGAAATATTTGTAATGAACTGGACTGGAATGCAACCAAGCCATGCACCTGAAACAGCAAGAGTACCAAAGGAGAATGGAAAACACATCAGTGAGGATTTAAACATCTTTTTCAGAGAAGTAACTTAAAATGGTTGAGACAAGAAATTCACTTTTCTCATCAATGCTGTAGGTACGTACATTTTTGCAGGCATCTCAGCAGCACTTCAAGGAGCCAAGCTATCAGCTGGACCCCCTTCTCATTTACATGTACACACCATTTGCATTCAACAGAACTGGTACAGTTAAGCATTAAATATTATTTCCTCACGCTGCAAACAGCCAGCAAGCAGAAATCAATCTGAAGTGGAAAAAGTCACTGGCTAAATGTCAGCTGTACAATCTTTGTGAAAAATTTCCCAGTGCCCTTTCAGCAGCAGAACCATCACCAACTCTAACTCACTTTACTGCAGACTGGCAATAACCACCTCTCCATTTTAAGTACCCTGCAACCCAGTGACCTTGTAATTCTCTCAAACATCAGGATCTCTTTCCAAAAGCAGTGTGTGATTAGCCTCAAGGACTGAGTCACAACAACATTACCCTCACCCAAACATGCTCAGGAACAAGATGGCCTCATTTAATGCTCATTCTCATTGTGCCAGTGTATTTGTTCAAAAAGAAAATGGGTATGAACAAAGAATATGAGATCTTGGCTGAGGGGAGGCAGACTCTCTTGAGAGTGTTTTCTGCAAATTCTAACTCTCACTAGGCTTTATGTTACATTTTAGGAATTAAAGCTCTCTCCCCCTGACAATAAAATCCTGTGTTCAAGTTCTCCTGGACAGCTTTCAATGGGTCTTCCAGCTTAAAGGAACCTGCAGAAGCATTCTGAAACAATAAAAAATGGACACATGCAAAATTCTTAATATTACTTGTCACAGTAGAGCCCAATTCTCCCCAGCCATCAATGCCAGCTTGCCAGGGTCACATCCTGGCTATCTACACTACTTTGAAGCTTTTGAAAATTTCACATATTGTACCATGAACAATGCCACAGAGAGCACATCCAGTTTCCATCCTCCTTCAAGTACAATGATGGGAGCAAAAATACCCCAAGTGAACAACTGTTTTCATGACTCTGAATTTGCATCAGCCTCTGCACATCTTTGTGAGGACATGGAAGTAATGCGTCCACTGTAGTGTGCAATAACTGGATGAGAATATGCTTTTATTTTTTATCTCAAAGTAGGAAACATTATTCTTAATCATGTTAGGAACAACAATAATTCAGTTTATTTAGGTCATTAACTTATCTGCAAAAGGAGGAGGGAGGAGGGCCAGTGAAAGATAATATATATGTATATAAAAGAAAAGAAAGAAAGATAATATATATGTATAATATATATATATATGTATATACTTATATATATGTAAAGTTTCACTCTAGCTGGACTTGAGCTATTATCTCACTGATTCTTGTAGATGCACAACAGTCACCTTGCAGCAAATACCAACAGAAACTTGGCATCTTTTTCAGTCATTATCAGCCACCAGGGAACAATTGCATCCTGCATAACTAACTATTTATTGTGTTCAAAAATGAAATTGATACATCTGTGCATATTAATACAGTATAACCAAACTACTTATTTGAAATACAAGACAGCAGGGCATGATTTAAAGTTGGGTAAACTTTTCTTTTACTTTTTAAAATCTAAGGAAAAAAATCTTTATATGAAAAACACTAGTCTCAAATGCCACACCATAGATTAAGTTGGTTGTAGCTTTGTAATCTTCTTCACTGTAGAAAAAAAATCAGAGGACTGTGTTATCACTTAGTCACAAATCAACATTTTCACTGCAAAATTACACAGTCATTTGATCATTACAAGCTCCCAATGGTGTCTTTTGAATAGGATTTCTTTGATACATGACAGGAAACTCAGCTGTTGATTAATCCTTTAGTTTAAAATTCACCTTAACTTTGATGGTAAAAGAGTTCACCCTGCACAACTGGCCTAAACACTAATCCTAACATTCTTCATTAGTAGCCATTTCACAGGGAATTTCCACAGTACTAGCTAAATGTTAAATTACTACAACCATTTGCTTTATTTTACAGATTTAACCTTTGCAAATATTTGTCTCATAAGGTGTACAGAACTGCTAGTAGCAGGGCTACCCAACTCTTTCCTTCAGCCAAGCAAAGATGCTATAAGGGAATTTTTATTAGTTTCCAGACACCCAGTTTCTATTAAGTACAGACTGACTTATTCTTTTTTACCACATTAATTACCCAGTAATCTTTAGGAACTGTAATGATGCAGAGTAAAATATAGGCAATACCAAAGGCTTTGGTGTTAGATGTGTCCATACCATTGTGATAATCTTGTTTGTATAAGTTCAGACACCGAACACAGGAAAAAAAAACCAAAAACAACTTCAACACTACAAATCACTGGGAGAGTATAGCTTTGGTCAGTAGCTTGTGCTATACATCAGAACTTACTTTAATTCTAGGTTATGTTTTTGTGTAGAATCTATGCACTGGAACCTTTTTAAACTGATGTACATTGAAACAAGCAACAAACCCTGCACTTAGCCTGATCTCAGTACTACTGATGGGATTCTGTCACAACAAGATTCAACCCTGCAAGGAATTCTTCACAGCAAGATCTATTTAACAGCTCCATTAGTGATTCATTAATATCTTTGTTGAAAACAGAGTCAAAGTTTCCATTCACACAGGCTTTGTTTTCCAGTTGAAAACTGCTCATTAAATCCTGTATCCACTTGAGTTCCTCAGAAAGTTCCTGTCTGAGGGAGTCATACTGACTCTGCAGCTCAGCGTATTTCCCACACACGCCTGCGAGACTGGCGCCGACAGCCTCGATATCATCATTCAAATGCTTTTTAAGGGACTCCATTTTACGGTATTCATACTTCAGCTGGGACACCTTGTGCCTCACGCTTTCACTCTCTTCTTTATACCAAGCTTCTTTCTCATTATAAATGGAAAGCAGAGCATCCATGTCCTCCTGCAAGGAATCGTGGGATGCAGCCAAGGTGCTGAAACCCTGCTCCACATGGGAAAGGTCCTCTACGACGTGGGCAAAGCGCTCAAAGTTGATGTAGCTATTGTTGGGGGGCATGCTCGAGTGGCACTTTATTGTGTACTCCCTCAGGCGTTTCGTCTTCAGCTGCGTGTTCTCCACCTTCTTGTTTTCCTGGATTTTGGTTTCATCTTTCAGCTGGTGAGTCATCAGACAGAGGAACCAATATTACTGAATGCTTTCAAGACTGCAGACATTCAAAAGCTCTTCACAAAGGATGCAGCCTGGGCTTCCACAATACTGGGAGATTCTTTGCTCACAGATTTTCTTTCATGCATTTGATTAGAAGAAACAAACACCAGACACACAAGCCCAGAACTGAATGTGACAAGTCATGTGCATTCATTCCAATGTGATAAGTGCAAACAACATGGCTGCAACTTATTTTCATGCTAATTTTTAGCAATTAACAGTGTTAAAGCCATCAATATTTGTACAAGGAAAACCAACAACCCTAAAACCACTCCAATTAACGTTTTGTGTGAAGCAAAACTAAAACTGAATTTCAAAAATCCTCATTAGTCATGCTAGCTAATGTATTTTACAATTCACAATTCACAAGCAAGCAATGTTTATGATGAAAAAATACATACAGACACACAAATGTAAGCAAACCACAACATGGGTTACAGCAGTTCTTTCTTCAGAGAAATTATATTTTCCATATTGATTGCAGTTAACTCTCAATTCAAGAAAGCATTAAAGCAAACACACAGTATATGCCCAAGCAAACAAGAATGGAAAAATGCAAAGCCCAGTCCAACATGAAATACTGTAATGTGCAATAAACATCAGAGCTTTGTTACTCTCTTTTTGAAAGTTATGATAATAAAGGAAATAATTTGCAGAAATCCAAGGATTTTGTCAGACCCAACCGATTTCCTCCCTGTACATTTCTTTGAGTCACACAGCATAACAAAGTACTTAGGGGGCAGTTTTCCATTTAACACACCAGTAAGAGTGAGAATATGATCTCTGCTTTGCTCATGGAAAAAAACATGATCTTTTTTTTTATTCAGTCTTACCGTTATCCATGGATGAGACAGAGCTTCCTGAATCGTAAGCCGCTTCCTAAAAAACAACACAAAAAAACCCCAAAGACTTGAATGAGAAATACTTGGTACACAAGTCCATTAACCCACAGTCCTCCCAAGCTTCCTATGAAGTATTTATCAGGATAATTCCAGGACACACCCTCAAATTTCAGGGTTAAGTTTCTCCCTGAGGCACACCGCTTGTGTGCAGTTTAGTTACTGTTCTAAATTTCAGTAGGTAACTGTCCTTACTCCACACAACTTTAATTCTTATTTTATCAAAATCAACCTGTACTTTTTTGCACCCTTCCATAAAAAGCAATAATACATTCCTTTGTTTCGTTCATCCAACATGCTTAGAAAATATATTCTTGCTATACACCTTTGATACGACTGCGTCTGAATCAACACTAATTATACCAGAAGTAATCAACAGTAATTATTACAAATTATAATAGTAATTATACACTGTCCTTTGGAACACAGTATTGCAGCACTGCAGGAGCTGTTGTTTCCTGAAAGCAACATTTCTTGGAAGAATACTGCAAATCTAATCCAAGTGGATCAAACCTCACTTCCTTCGGCACTGGAGCAGTTGGGTGAACAGCACTTTAAGAACACTGAGAATCAAAGACAGAAACCCAGCATTGCACAGGCACCATGTCTGTACATGGCACAAATACCAACAGCACTGACTTCTCCTTGGAGGTGGCCAACCTGTGCAAAACTCTCATCAAACACGTACTCTACCCCACACTGAGGGGCCTGATAATTTGCAGAAATCTTCACTGAACAGCTCCTTCTCTCTCCTAGCTATTTTATCCCTTAATTAAGCCATTAGAAAGAACGACAACAGTCTGACTTTGCTCCAGGACAAAGAAAGTTACAGGGAAGGAGATGCTACTTCTGTGTGCACTTTATTAAAAGCAAGAAAAACTAAAAACAAAAGACTGTGGTTCCTGTAACCTGGGAACAAAGATCTGCATAGCTGTCACACAAACCCTAGGGGACTGCCACAGATACAGAGACTTAGAACAACTCCACATCAGTACATGTAGTAATTTTTCTGGCATTGCACCACTGGGGGCATATTCTGGCATGGTATCACCTCCTTGGAAGTAGTTCATAAGAGACTGAAATAGTGGAGTGGCTGTTACCCTGCACTCAAGATTGTGCACACCATTTTCAGCCCTTCAGCTACACTGTGCCAACTTGACTCAGGTGAGAATTCAGTCCTGAACATGGCATTTAGCTGAGGAGATTTGGTTTCTCTCCTCAGGGTTTCTGGGTGCAGTGATTAACTAGGGGCACAGCAACATCCTCCTGTCTTGCTCTTGACTGGCAATATACACTGCAAGAAAGACTTTTTTCCTTGTAATGTCACATTTCACTAGGTCTGTTTTAGAGACAAATGGGTCTTTCTGAATATCTGCTTACCGTGTATCTTTCACCAGTAGTTTCTGAATAAAGTCTTTTGCCAGGTCACTAGTATTGCTGAAAAATTCTTCATCAAAGTCGTAATTCACAGCTGTGATGTTGGCAAGTGTTTCTTGTTTAGTTTCTCCAAGGAAAGGTGATGCACCACTAAGCCTAGATAAGCCAGAAAGAGGAATCAGTTGGAAAAATAAGCAGAAAAAGTCCCCTAATAAAATTACAGTGACTGTGGAATATACTCTTAGGACATTTGTGACTCTTGTGTTGAAGCAGCTCTGCCATGAAGGAATAAACAGAGCTAGCTTAGGCTCACTAGAGCTGTGGTTATGGGCCAGACTTGAATTTAAAGTCTCTAGTGCAGCACTAATGCATGCACATAGAGAGAAATGCAGAGCTTCTCCTCTCCTGAGTGTCTCATTTAAGTCATTGCTAATGAAACTAGAAAAAGTTTCAGCTGAGGAGAGTCTCTATCCCTGTGAGCCCACAAAGACTACCAGGCTGAAGCTTCTATAACATTCAAGCAGATAACATAGTGTTTCTATAGTTTGTCTTCAGGAAGGAAAAGCTCTGCCCCAACTTCTTTTCTCTGCAAAGCTGCTAATGAGTTCCCTGCACAGGGGGTTCAAACAAGAAACCTTTCTCAGCTGGAAACAAAATACAATATATAATCAGAAGCTAGGCACGTGGTCTTGCCTAAGAGCCGGCTCCACTGAAGAGGCAGGGCCATGCTGCTCAGCAAAAGGAATCCACAAGCAAAAGAGCTTTGGCTGAAATAAAATCCAACTGTTTCTGAACAACATAAAATTTCATTCTCTTGGCACCCTGCTCCAACTGCAAGGATATAATGGAGACAGCACCATAATAAAATGTCATTTAGCAATCTTGACTTAAGAAAAAGCTTTCCTCCTGCTTTGTCTAACTCTCAGCAGTGACTGTCAACCTTCATCTTTGATGACTCTGCACCTCTGCTCCATAAAACTTGTGTCAAAACAGTCATCCCAGACCTCTCCTGCTCTGCCTTTCCTCCAGGCTCCTCCTCCCACAACACAAAGGGATGCTGACTTGCAAAAGCCGGCTTTATGGATAATGTTATTTATACCACAGAGATTGATATTGCTCCTTTTTAATAATCTTCTGGGCTATTATTATGCTTATCTATTATGTTGAGTTTTGATAACATAGTTTCAGGATGTAGCAGGCTCAAAACAGGACTGCACCAAACTTCAGGGAACTAAACTGAGGTTTTGAATACTAAACCATTGCTTACGTCATCCCACTCTCAACAGACTTTTTACCTTGTCTGTATTGCCACCACCAGGTTGACTGGGAATCTTGAGGAAGCAGGAAGTTAGATGGGACCACCTGAGCGTTTCAGCCCGATCTCCAACTACCACATTTGGTTTTATCCACAGAATAAACACTCAAGTGCATAAACTGCTTCCTCCCCCCTCTACAGTCATACAACATCATCAAAGCATCTGACACAGCAAGAGAGCACGAGGGAATGCAGTAAATTTAATCCCATAAATCCACAGTCTCAATTCGTAAGGGGTTTTACATAGTTCCATTTCTGCTGGCTACAAGCAGGCACCTCTCCACAGACCATGAGCTTTGCTCCAAAACTGAAGCTTGGAAACCTGCCCTAGAGCCTTGGTTTCTTTTTCCTTTCCCCAAAGTACACCATGAAGCAGCTGTAATCCCACCTTCTGGCCCTTTGTTGGATGCCAAAATCAACACTGCTCTATGCTCTGACTTTTTTTTTCTCTTTGGGAGTCAGTTTTGAAATCTGTGAAATGTCAAGATTCTCAAATCCTAATATCCAGTCATATCCTGACTCAGTGCCTGTAAACATGTACCAGCAGACCTCAGTAATAAAGGCTTTGCCCTTACAACTGACTGAATCACTCCAGAGTTACTGAATTGAGGACTTGGATGCATTTTGATCTCTACATCTGATGATAGCATCCATTTAATTGCTGACACGTTTTCTAAAGCAGGCGGCATCATAGACAACACCCCACTTAGTCAGAAGTGAATCTGAATCTTACTTCTGAGCAAAAGGCTTTAAAATTAGGAGGCAATACGAGTTGAAGGCATGCAAATTTCTAGTCCATAGCTAGACATTTATGGTTTAGCATTAATTGACATTTGGTGAGAAGCCAGTGCTAAACCCACTACAATAGCCTATCATGCAAGCTGATCCCTCCCACCACAAAAAGCCTGCTCTTTTTTTCGATCATTTGTAGGAAGGCTTTTTTCTACCTTAATGACCACAGCAGTCATTAGTATCCAAGCAGGTAAAACAGATCTCCTGTGCTGGATGCAGTACAGGACCTGCTCCCTTACTCTGCCTCAACCCAGTATAACAGGAAGGCCTGAGGAGCAGCTGGCTCTGTGCATCACTAATCGCATGCTAAGTATTCCCATCTGCTTAAGCTCAACTCCTAAGTTTTCCTCTCATCAAAGAGGAACACTCATTTTACAAATTTACAAAGTTTAATGTCCTGGCAAGTACAGGTGTGTCAGTGCAGACCAGAGTGCTGGTAAAAAACAAGGATCTGGACCATATTTTAAATCCCTTTACCTGAGCTTGGGCTCCAACCAATACCCCAAATTTTCTTTGCACCGCAGAAAAAAAGGGAATGTGTTGCACTGAATCTGACTCTTCATTCCCTACCTCTCTTTTACAGCTTTTAGGGTCTAACCCTTCTGCATAAGTCAAAATTTACTTTCCACACTGAAAAGACAATCCTTCCCCTTCTAGCCTCTGTACTTGTCCTGACCTGTGAGCTGTGTAGTGCAAATCCATCTATTACAACAGTCCACCTTCTTCAAGTCTGGCAGCAAATTATTCCTCTGAGTATCACAAGGAACAGCCAAAGCTGAGGGTGTCATTCCCAGCAAGCAGTGTCCACTCCCTGCTCCCCAGGAGTCACAGGATTTCAGTGGAAGCAGTTAGGATCAAGGATCACTGACCACTCCTGCAATTCTCATGTCAAACGAGAGAAAAAGCGAGGAGTGCTGTTTCTCTGCTGCATGCATCATTATTGCACAAGCAGTTTCCCAAACTGTCAAGCTCCATCTTAAAACTCTCAACTGCATGTCCCCAGATGCCCACAGAAACTAATTTCTTTGAGAGCTTCAGCATAGTAATTAATTCCTTTTATTTATTCATCACCAGTTGACACACTTTACACTTCTAAGGATAATCTGTACTTAAAAAGTATTCTGTGATCTATTTTCACTTTATGCTTCCTGACTATAATAATATCTATCCCCAACCAACCTTTACCAGCTTTAACAAACCCTTTTTCTTCTCCTGTAAGTTGAATTCTCAGTTCCCAAGGTCAACTTCTCTGTTCCTCCTTCAGCTTAAATTCACCTTTTTGAAATGGGTAACCTTACTTATGCATAATAATCTAGACTGCTGCCTTTACAAGCAAATAAAAACTTCCCTGTTTCCATCTGAAATAACCCATCTTGTAAATGGGACTGTTAGACTTTCAATTTCTATGCTCTCACACCGGCAGCTCACAGTCATTCCAGGAGCAATTAATCCTCTTGGCTTTTCTATCCTCTACCATTTGGAATGGATGAGATCCCATAAAATGCAGAAATGCCTACGGTGCAAGGGAATTTTTTGATTTCTGCTCAGAATGCCCCTCATCTTTTACCCTCATTTTAAATTGAAAAGGCTGCAGAATAACCCCTGTCCTTTATACAAACCCCTGCCCACCCCATGTGTGCAGACCCCTAAATGACTGAAGGGAAGAACTGTTCTGTACTAGTGCAACAGAGCTTCAGGAACATTTCAACAGGAGTGAATCTGTTGTACTCACAGTATGTAGGTGATGACTCCTATGCTCCTAAAAAACAAAAGACATTAACTGCAGGGATTCTACATGACCAGTATTCTTTCTAATGTGCAGAATCAGTATTAGCTGCAACAGAGGCAAGAGAGCCACTGTGGCTTTAGATAACTGCTAACATCTCTTACAGAATGGGGTTTTGGGGAAAAAATTAATTTTACATGTAACATCAAGTAATGTGGATATTTGAAGTCTCTGCTTATTTCTACTCAGTGGGTACTTACTACAGTGCACACATGAAACACAGAGGAGCAGGATATTTGACCTCTTTTGCCTGCCTTCCCAGCAGGCAACATTAGTACTCAGATCTCCTCTGCATGAAGGGCTCCTAGAAATAAAGCTGTCACAAGCTCTGCAGGAACATGTTTCCTTCTCAGAGTGCTCCACTGTGTGGACAGTAGCAAATAGTTAACTCTGGAACTGCCATCACTCCAGTTTTCCAATGTAATTTTGCAGAAATTAAATGTTTATCTTTTAATTTAAAAGAATGTATAAAAATGGAATGACAGAACAAAGACTCATTAACTGTATTTAAGTTTTGGGGGTTTTTTTTGGTTGTTTTTTTAAATTTGTTGCAGTGCAATGATTCTATTAAGAGCAAAAATAGGAAAAAGTAACTGTAGAGTAACAGGAAAAAGAAGTACTAACATTATAAAACTTACCACATGTCTGCAGCTAGTCCAAGTGGTTCATAGTTTATGATTTCTGGAGCTGTAAGAAACATTTAATCAAAGAGCAGCAATTGATTAAATTGATTAAAACAACTTCTATCCCTCAATTTTTACCTTTGACAAGATGTCTTGACTTCCTCTGGAATTTGCAATAGAAGACAAAGGAACATGTCACTCACCTACAAATTCTGGAGTTCCAAAAATGTTTTTAAATTCAACTCCATCTTCTATTTTGTGAGCCAAGCCAAAGTCAATGAGTTTGATGTGTGGAATAGGGATATTCTTGTCTAGAAGCATGATGTTTTCAGGCTAAAAATAACAAAAGATAGATCTATCTTATTAAAATATTAATATCTTGGAAAGTAACAGAATTATCAAATGCTTTTTTTTCTCCATTGCATATACATCATCATAAAACAAGAAACACATACCTGTGCTTATCATTTACAGTTCTTTTGAAAGAGGTAGAAGACAGCTGAAGCAGTTCAGATGTTTGCCGACAGAATGATACTGCCCAGCCCTGAGTGACAACTGCACAGCACAATATTTTTGTTGACAGCAATTTTACTTATCTGTTCTTGGAACTCACACTTCACAATATTTGCCCAGTTGACTCTATACTGTATTGTAAGCCAATGGAAGATGTTTTATTTAAATGTTAAACATATTCAGGGAAAGAAAAACTAACTTCTCTATGAAACTAAATTCACAGTTGCAGCAAGGCCAGGAAAGATCCAGGATTTACCAGCTGAGCAGTCCCAGAAAATGCCAAGAGTTGGGATCAGAGGTCTTAGATCATATATGATAGCAAGTTATTAAAAGAACATGTGGAATTCCTCAAAGCATTGTAAGAAAAAGCTGAAGCTTGAACTGCAAAATCAAAACTAACATGTTTAACCACAGACTTTACTTTTTTACCAGATACAACATATTTTATAAAGTTCTTTCTTCAACTAAATTTCTCAGCCTCAGCTACTCCCAACCATGGCCCGAATTCACAGGTTTCAGAGTAAACTATGGCTTCAATTTATCTCCCATGATGAGCTTTAATGCTTCATCATCTGTCATAACTTAATCATAAGTTCAAGGGCAGCAGTGAGAGACTCTGATTCCCTGCTGGCAGCTGCCTGGCCTTTCCACAGTAGAACCTAACATGGAAGTTGCTCCTGCTTACACATACTCATACACTGGGAAACAGAGCATATGAGTAATTTATTCTCATAGGCACTAGAGCAAGCATATTTTAGCCTCAGGGTAACAAGTCTAATTTTCTTTCATGGATCTAGGGCATATATGTACACCACAGACACATAATGTAAGCTTCTTTAGAACAGACAACAGACTGAAATGGAAAAAGTCACTGTCACTACCTCTTGGAGGACTGTTTTATTCCTTAGGTGGTATAAACCATTGTAGCTCCACTGCAATCAAGTCAAGTGATGAGATAATGATGAACCATTCTCTGTCTAATCAGATCACTGCTTAAAAATACATGTCTAATTTAACACTTCCTGAACTCCATACACAGTCCTTTAAAATCTAAGAGAGTTATTAAGTGAATACATATTAGGTTATGTAATAGTCACTATCAGTTAAATTATTCTTTACTTATGCTTTCTGATTTCTATCTTGCAATTCTTACATCTTTATTGACCACCTGACATTACTGGTATTAAATATTAAAATTAGCAGTTTCAAATCAGCCAAAGCCTAAATCAACATCTTTACCTTTAGATCAAAGTGAGCAATTTTCTTAGAGTGAAGGTAATGCACACCATCCAAAATCTGCTTGATGAACCTGGTTGCTTCCTCTTCACTCAAAGACTCCTTCTGTGCCAGGAAGTCAAAAAGTTCTCCTCCACAAACCCTGCAAAATACATCCTGTTATCTCCTGCACTGTAATCCAGTGTAAAGTAAGTGTAAGCACAGAAAACTAAAGCAGCAAATAACCTCAATACAGTTAGAAAAAGTCTACTCCTACAGACAATCACGAGTTTTGTGTTCTGATCTCAGGTGTGCCCAAACTTCCTTTTGGCTTCAGCTCTCTTCCCCGTAAATTCAGGACTGGCTTTTCCATTGATGCTGCAAGGACCACAAAGGACCAGAACCAGAGTTACATTGTTTGCTGAATCTCCAGACATGCACCTATTTCAAAAAGTCAACTTAACCACTTCAACTGCTATTTTTCAACATTTTTTTTTTTGTATGAACAAGTTGTAAGAGTCAACAGCTGCTGAAGAATTACTTTTCTTAGTGGTTGCCACCAGAACCTGAGGTAGTAAAATGAGCCAACAGAATCTCTTTTCTTTCCAGAATGGCCATCACCCTGTCCTACTACAGATTCTTGCCTGACATAACTAACAGGAAAGGATTTCTTTGGTGCTGAATCTCTCAAGAAGAAAGCAGATTGTAGCAGGCTGGAAGGTACAAAAAAACCTCTTCCCAAATCAATGAAGTGCTCTTAGTTACTACAAGTTTTCACATCAAAGCTGAAATCCATTCCACCCTAATTAGTATATAAGCCTTTATTTTAATTTCTGTGCCTTCTACTGAGACTTCCATTGCTATTTTTCCGCTTATCTGAAACATGACCTAAATATTGAATTAGGCATTGCTTGCAGCTATTATTCATTATTATGTTCACATTTATTGTTGCCAGTTCACACTGTCATTAGTATTATTTCTTTATTCTCATTCAGATTCACTTTTGGGGGAACCCACAAAACAGTTGTTACTCGTGAGGGCCGGTGCACCTGTGCTCAGAGTGCAAGCAAAGGACCTGAGAGATGCTACAGTCACTTTGGAAAACAAGCTCTCAGCCTTGTTGCCCAATGAACTGCCTGTCAAAGCAGTAGCAGGTCAAAATGCTTTGAGTACCTCAGGTGCTGTGAGTCACAAACAAGGTCAGATCACACTGGGTGCTCCAGGGGTCTTTGGGGAATTGCTCCTCTGACCCCAGGCTCCTACACAACACTGGTGGTGACTGCATGGTGATTCCCTACTCTGCCTCGTTCAGAGGAAGCTACTGTCAACAGCTATAAGATCTGCAAGGACAAGTTGACTGCAAGCAAGAACAGCATGTCAAAAGCCACAAAAACATTGGATTTGTGTCTTAACTTCCCCTGCTGTTCCTGTGGGTGACAACATGCCTCGTTGTTCCAGAGACTGGACATAGTGACTTGCCCACTGATTACCAGGTATTTTTTTCACACCTCTCACGAAGTTGGAAACTTTTCTAAGCAATGTGAGGAACAACACTTCACCTGGGCAGAAGTCACTTAATGCTTTCTAAATGTAACTAAATTGTTACAACTAAATGGCTGGCAAACGAAAAACAGACTTATATGACCCAGAAATATGTTTCAACTGCTGTCTTTGGCTGCCACCTTCTTGTTCCTATTAATCTCAGTTATACAACCTGTGACACTATTACTTGATCTCTTGATTTGCTTTTCTAGGTGACACCTACCAAGGGTCTCAGCACTACCATCAGCCTTTCTGGACAGGTTTGGTTGTACCCTGTACAACAAACACTGTCTCCTTTCCATGCTGTAGTAGGTTTAGAGGCCTTGGTTCAGCAGTGCAACAGTTACTAGACTACTGTTACAAACCAGTACAGAAATCTCTAAGAAAAACCTGGTAGTTCCTTGGTGAAATCTGCGTACAGTGAGCAGGTGAGTCCCATTTATTTAATGATTTCTACTCAGAGTGCACTTAAGCAATCACCTCTGGCAAACATTCCATCCGGTCATCAGGAAGCCAGCTGGACTAGGATATGTTCTTGTACTTTTCTGGAATGTAACCATGTAGGCACACTGTTCTTTCTTCCTCTTCTACCCTGCAAAATCTCCATGGTGATTGTTTCTTAAACTGTCCTCTTTAATCTCCCTGAGGCCAGACGAAAGCCCAGCCCCGGTCCTGCAGAACTCTCACTTCAGGAGAGCTCCCAGGCTGAGCCACTTAGGCAGAGCCCTTTGCTCTGCTCAGGGTGTTTGAGGATACCTTCCTGCTTGGAGGAGACTGGCAACTCCCTTCAGAGCAACCTCTTCTGCCACACAAGCAATGTCAGAAAATAGTTCAGCTGCCCAGACTGGAGCTATTTAATTCTCATTCTCTCTTGCTGCCTCCTACATTGGGCACTTAAACCAGGTGGGTCAGCTGCTCAGGGCACACCAAGGAGTTTGCCTCAATGGCAACATCACCAACATCCTGGGCAACCAGCTGTGCCCAAGGCACAACTAAAGAAACTGCAGACTACAAGAATGGGGATCACAGGATATTTACTTGAGAGCTCCTTGGTGTATTTTCCCTCTTCTCTTTAGTTCATGCTGACATGCAATAAGGCTAGGGAGAGGGCTTTCCAAGCAACAGAATAAAACATAAAATACAACATAAAGGAAACAAAAAAAAAAATTCTGAAAGCTCAAAGTCTGTTATTGTCTTTATTGACAAAAGACTCCCTTCTACAATAACCACACGAGCATTTCATTTTCTGAAGACCAGAGAAGGGTCTTCAGAAAACACTATATTAATCTTGAGTCTCTTGAGGTATAGCCTAAGATCTCAAAATAGTAATCTAAAGAGAAATTCAGTAGAAGATATGAGATGATTTATCATTAACAAAGTCTCAGGCTTCAAAACTGGGCTTCAGTAAACTGTACCTAGAGAGTGGTAAGCAGTATATTGCAAGATCATTCTTATCCAAGTTATACACCTGAATTCAGAGAAACTCAAGCAGAAGAAATTTAGCAATCCCAAAAGCCAGCCATTATAGAATCCCAGGAAAAAACCACACTTCAAGCACCACTTCCTTTGCAGTAAAACAGTCATAACTGCATCAAGTTACATTTGAACATCCAAGGAAGTTTGTTTTCTCAGTCATCACCTGCAGGGAGCTGGGGTTGTTTAGCCTGGAGAAAAGGAGACTCAGAGGTGACCTTATCACTCTCTGGGGTGGTCAGTTCCTTTCACCAGACAGCAAACAACAGAACAAGAGGACACAGCCTTAAGCTGTGCCAAGGGAAATTTAGGTTGGATGTTAAGAAAAAGTTCATCATGGAAAGAGTGATAAAATGCTGGAAATGGTCTGCCTGGGGAGGTGGTGGTGTCCCCATCCCTGGATGTGTTTAAAAAAGACTGGATATGGTACTTGGTGCCATGGTTTAGTTGAGGTATTAGGCATCGGTTGGACTCAATAATCTTGAAGGTCTCTTCCAATCCAGTCATTCTGTGATTCTGTGATACTGTGAAATGCTCATTTCTCAACTGTCACAGAATTCCTTCCTCTGGTTCCATCTCTTTCCCTTTTACCATGTCACCTAATACCACAGCAAGGAAACAAGCAAATTATATCTTTACTTTTCCTTTGAAGTCCAATAAAAGACAAACAACAATGCTGCTTTACTTATTGGACAGAGCTGTTTAGTGTACACAGCCCTGACACCTGTAGAGGAGACACAGGTGTATCAATCCAGGCTGCTTCTGCTTGGGTAAAGCAGGCTCCAGGCAGGGCCCAGGAGACAGAGAACAACCCCACAGAAAGCTGTGGGAAGCAAGTCCCTGGACAATGTGCAGAAGGAAAGAGAAGCTTTGTACCTGCAAAACTGCACAGCAATGGACCTGGCACTGCTCTTAAACAGGAGAACCAGCACATATGACATATGGAACTGACCCGTTTGAAAAGAGGAGATGGTTTTGCTAGCACTGTGAGTAGGGGAGAGGGTCAACCTTTCAGACAAATCCTCTTTTAAACACCAGGACAGCTTCTTTAATTACCCAGCAATACAGGGGCCATTCTTTTGAAGCTGAAATTCACTGTAGATCACCATAAGATTGGTTGGCCAGATGCTGTAACACCTATTTTGATAAATAGCAGGGAACATGAGACTCTGAGAGTAGGGTGTCAGAGGGGAAAAGATCATCTATTTACAGAGAGGATTTAATTATCTTTATTAGCAATAATCACCATCCTCAATTTGTATACAGCAGCTGAATGCAGAGGCCTTAATGAGGCCAAAATTCAGTTGAATGCAGATTTTACAAACTGGAATATGTAGCCTGACAAAAAGGCCACATGAGGACAGAAAAAACCAGAAGGTAATGAAACACGAGGTTGCTTTAGCTCAAAGTAGTCACCACTGAGAAAGAGCAAACTCTTTCCATGTCTTCCAGAGCTTGGCTACAGAGATCAACATTTGGCCATAGACATATACTTCAGAGTTAACAGATGCTCATCATCACTCATATGCCATTTTCCAGCAGTCACACTAATCTCCAGGAATGCTCCCTGGCCTAAATGCTGGCTCCCCTAAAGAGCTCCCTCAGTGATGAAAGCCTCGTTGCCTGGATTCCATAACAAGGTCCAGGCTGGTGTCCTAGGGAACATACGGTCTACCTAACTTCAACCATGGTGACTGTATTTCCTGCCCCATACACACTGAAAAACTGCATCATTTTGCATGTAGGGGTGAGGAGGTCCACTTGTCAGCAGGACCTAAATGGTAGTGGTTTTCCCTCTCATATGGTGACACAAGAGAAAAGAGCTTTTCTTCATTCCCATCCTACTGCTATTCACCCTCAACAGTCAATTCCTAGAGATTAAAAAACCCTCCTCCCCTTTTCTTCCCTAGCTGATCTAAATGAGGAAAATATGGGAGTAATGAAAATGGCTGTGAATTTTGGAAAAGGCTTGATGGCCTCACATGTATTGAAAGAGATGAAAGCAGGAAGAAAAATGAAACAAGCATTCAGCAGCCACTTGTACTTCCTCCAAGGTTCATGCTCTTAGGCAGACACGAGGTAATCCTTCCCCTAGTAAATTGTTTTCAAGTTATTAAGATTCCCTGGCTCAGTATCAAAGGACCTCAGCTGATGTTAAGGTGCACCTGTATCCCCAGGGCACATGGATGAGCTGGGGGGCCTGTTTACCACCAACCTCAGTCAGTGAATGCTCTTGCCAAGATTTTTGAAGCTTGAGAATGCAACAGCTCCATTTATCAGCACCCCTGTTCTCCAGCAGCCTCTGCAGTGCTCTGTGGTTTCTATTCACCTCAGCCATCCCTGCAGGGAAGGGCCCTTACTCACAGCTCCAGGATGAGGACCACGTCTGTCTTGTTCTCGTAGATGTCATGCAGCTTGACGATGTTGGCATGCAGGATCTGCTGCAGAATGGTGACCTCGCGCTCGATCTCCTCCCGGCTCACCCCGCGCCGGCTGGCCTGGCTCTGGCGCTTCTTGATGAACTTGGCAGCATATTCCACCCCTGTGCTCTTCTCTCGACACTTCTTCACTATAGCAAACTGACCACTGCGAGGACAAGGAGACAACAAAAATGCTCTTGAGGCTTTTATGTGACAGCTTTGCAAATAAGCCAGTCCCATACAAAACCTGATCCTGCAAGCCCCTAACAGCATCACTGAGCACTACTGAGCTTGCTGGTGGTACAAGAGTGAGGACTGTCAGGATCCTGCAGTCGAAGGCAGTAGAGCTTAACAAGGTAACCTCCTACAGTGTCTGAAATTTAGCAAAACCAAACAATGACTGATAATGATAAAGGATGATAAAAGGAGTTAAAACCTCTAAAATACAGTTCATGTTTAAATGAGAAAGATCTGCCTCAAAAGGTTCAAGTTACTGCTACTTCACTCAGTAATGCTTAAGACATTCAAGTCTGCAACACACCACTGGATGTTCTGAAAGAACACATACACACACTAAAATATTTGTTCTAAGAATAGTCTCTAGAGAAAAACTCAAAGGAATAATTACCCTTTGGAAATGCAAAACTGGCCTCCAGTAACTAATTTTCAAATTTAAAAAAAACTGTTTATTTGTATTTATGCATTCATTTGACAATTTGGCTGTAAATATAACTAGAGTAAGTGCAGGTTTCTCACTGCACCTCAAGGACTAAGAATTTCCCAGTGTACCAAATAGTACAGTGGCTGCATTAAGACTAAAAGGCACAAATTTGCAATTTACTAATAAAATTTTCCTCACCATGGCTCCTAATGTAGTCCAACTGCAAAATTACCACCTTATCTCCTATGAACTGGCAGATCTCCAGTCCCAGAGTATACATTTAGTATCAGCTGCTTCCTTATTCAGGACATTATATCCAGACTCGGAAGGAAAAGACTCATCCTACAGGTAACCATAACCTTTAGCTACTGTGATTTTATCAGACAGGATTTCTTTAAAAGAAACAAACAAAGTCATGAAGTGCACCCCCACCCCGTGACTACACTGTATAAGCACTGACTGTTGTTGTTTATAATATTATATCATTCACTGGCTTGGTAAATGAGAAATACACAAATGCAAGTACAGTTGGCATTTAAATTATGCAGCATGCACAGCAATTATATTCAGCACCTCATTACACACTGTACTTAGTGCTTCATCAACACAGACATCCAACTGGTGTCTGTCTTAAACATACAAAGGCAAAGAAATTAAAAACTAAGGCTGTCACTTGGTGCTCAATTGCTCTCAAAGGCTCCCACCCTATGGCAGAGACAGCCTCTCATTTCAGAGTTCAAACAAATACCAGGCAGCCTGACATACTTATTTTAGGCTTTCACTTTCATACATATCCTACACCCTTCTCAGGAGAGAGGCAGGAACAGATGGGCCAAGTGTACTTATCCCTTTAGGAATAATCATTCACAAATGGAATCAAGACTGTGGACATTTGTCACATGCTTTAATTGATTCATATTTCTCCTGCTTTTATCGTTCCATGCAATCTGTAGAGAAATTCCCACTACAAAATCTCCAGACTTGACTTAAACATTCTACTTAGAGTTTGTTTTGCAGTGCTGAGAGCTGCTTGTGTAAAACATCATGGGTTTCGTGTTTTTCTTGTTTGTATGATCATAAATTTGCAACACATGCATCTTGCTTGGTTCCAACTTCCTGAAGAAACATGGTATAAATATTCCTGTGTTTGTTTCCTTCAATCCTCTCTAGGGACAAATTTTGTCAAAGTTCAGGGGAAAATATTTTTTTATGAGTGCTTATTTTGAGAATGAACACAGTCACTTTTGCATTTAGAAATTCCAGTGATACTGTGGATTTTGTACATTTCTGTTTATGCAAAAGCTTACAAAAGTAACAATGACACAGCATAGGAATTCCTGTCTTCTCCTTTGACATAAATAATTGTCCCAGACGATAACTATTACAATACCAATTCCCTTGTAATCTCCTATTGCTACCCTGCATGTGTGGACACCAACACACACTTATGCTATGAATTATTACCATCTATCTGTACAGTAACACAATTAATATCTTAAACACCTTGTGGGGTCCTTAGCTGCGAGTCACAAGAAATTGTGCCACCTACTGAGTCATCAACAGCATCTCCTGAAACTGTTCAATGTTTTTGGAAAGTTCCCAATCCCGCAGTGACTATCAATGTGGCCCTTATCAGCTCCTCCTGGGACTGGAGGTGCAGAGTCAGCAGTGATAGAGCATGAGCCCAGCAGTTCTGCCAAGTTCCTGATAGCCTGGCAAGTTTTTTGTGTAATCTGAAGCTCAAGAATAAAATGCAAATTTTATTCCCTGCTTATCAGAACTAGCTTTTGGATTGAATATCAGTGCTTGGAGTGGCAATGAGCAGAGTGCAGAGAGACAGGGAAGGTCACAGCTGACTCATGCTCAGCAGGAATAGCTGATCTGATAAGCTGTTCCTCTCGCCATGTGCAGCAACAGCAGGGCAGAGGTAATGTGCATGAGGAAGGTTAGCACAATGCACCTGTGTGTGTAAAGGTCCAAACCAACCTAGATATGGACTGAGAGTAATAGACCTAGGAGCACATGAGTTGTAAGAGGAGAGCAGTATTATGGCCAAATAGTTAAATTACTTTTCTCCTTCCCTATGTATCAAACAGATGGAAACAATGGTAGCATTTCATTGAAGATTTTAGGAAATTATCTCTAAGGCCAAAACTGCAAAGGGTTGCTGAAACTCCCACTTCACTCAGCTATTACAACAGGTCTTCACCCTGGTTCAAACTGCTGGTATAGAGTGTTAACAAGGATTAATAGATGTTACCTGAGATAAATTAAGCTGGACCATCAGACACATTCCTGTGAGTTCAATTCTGCATTAGATGTTAACAGCTTGTCCAGTGCTTTATCACTGTTAGAATTTGAGATGAACTGTGTTTGTTTCATGTGCATTTTGACTCACAAGTAATATTTTTCATTTTAAAAGTATGGAATTAATACTATACAGAGTATATTTTCTCAGCTGTTGAAACTTCCATCTGCTTTCTAGTGCAATGCAAAATGGAAAAAAATAGTTTTATTTTTACAGAAATGGCAAAACAAAGATTTGGATTAATATTCAATGTCTTTCTCCTGAGATTAATATTCAGTGGTTAAATACATTACAAAATTTGAGCTTTGTGAGCACAGCCACACAGGTCTTTCATCTCTAATTACACTCTCAAAGCCAAACATGGACTAAGGAGAAACACTGAGATCATTTCCATTATCAAGGTGGATGCTGATGATAAGGAATGCGTGACTTTATTACAAAGTAAGGCCAAGGCCAGCTCTTCTCTGTTACTGTAGGTAGAGCAACTTTGTTATTAGGAAAAAAACAAACAAAACTTTTCATCTTCTCTGTACTTTCTGAAACAAATATTTTATTTTGGAAACAGTTAGGGTAGCATTGAAAACTAATAGGGAAACCTGCTAGAGGAATTAAAAAGAAAAAAAATCAAGAACAGTGACTGTATCAGATAGCTGATAACAACCGCAGTGATTGTGACCAAGTACCAGATGCCAAAACTGTTTCAGCAGAAGATTCACATACATGAAACATAACTTAGAAGATTTGGAACAAGAAACATTAACAGAAGTGCTGGTTCTGAGGACCTGGGTAGTCCTCAGGAATTAAATTAACATTTTGCATCAAACACAAAGACCTGTTCTGTGTGTGTTGTAAGATAAAATAATCCAAAGTTATTCTTCAAAATTTAAAGAACTAATTCAAAGTGCAAACTATTCAAGGAACAGAGTTAAAGTTCATGTCTGAGAAAGCACAGTACTGAGCAATTTCTACAGTTAGACCAAAACATTCCTGGTATGAAGATATTGTCTGGTGTAATTATTAAGGGGAACTTTCCCAGCTGCAACCACAGCCCTCTGTTTAGCAGGGAGAATCCAACTAGCTGGGGGCCATGACTTTTGTATCCTAGATTTCCAGGTTCCTGCCCTACAAGGAATACCTGGGTTATCTCTGCTTTTTGTTTCCACTACATAAACAAACATCTAGTTACACTGTCAGAACTTGTGCCAGGCTCCAAGGTCCCATGGTCCACTGGTAAAATGCTGCATTTGCTGTCCATTAAAGTTTCACCCAGAAAATGGGGATTCTCCTCTCTCAGAGTTGATCCTCCACACACAAGCAGAGAGGAAACAAAAACTTGTAGCTGGAGATAGGGAACTACAGGAGGCATAACAAGCCACCGAGGAAAGATTTAGCTCGGCTTTAACCATGAAACCACAGATCAGGTCATCAGGGGCTGAGAAACTGGAGGCTTAATTATGCCCAAATTAATCAACAGAAATCACAGTGATTATTTTCTGCCTGAAGGTGTTGACTGACCCAGCAGATGAGGGATGAGCATAGAGCCCAGTTACCGAGACAGGCAAGAAACTGGAATGGCAGGTGGTAAGGTTGGCCCACACTGTGGAGGAAGGCAGAGCCCCTTCCCTACAGTGAACAGACAACAGTGAAGGAAAGGGGGAAGACTTCCATGCCCAGAAATATCACTCCAAGGTTTGTCTGTTTTTCTCTGTTAAGTGTGAGCCCTTGCATGGTGCAGGGCTGAACTGCAGGAGCAGGAAACTGGCCCAGGATATCAGTGCCAGGAACACACCACCCTGCAGGAACACACTTTCTCAATGGGCACTGTCACAAAACACTCTGGGAAAAGCTCCATGACACTTCCTACCCTCAGCCCCAGCTTGACATATAACAGTGACACTGCCCATAAGTCACAAATGTCATCAGCTCTCACAGCCTGGCTGGCACCACATTTAGGTAATAGATTAATGACTAATCCTTTTATAAATCACACTGCACATCTCAAATTCCAGTACCTTCCACCATTATCAGTGTTTGCTAGTACAGCTGGAAAAGGCTCCTGCACATTCACACAACACTTTTTGTTCAGCAAGCCACAACTACCCAACACACAACTAAACAACAATTGAAATATGTTATTAAAGGCTTTCCAGTGAACTTTATTGCTGTCACGTTCCTGGAAACTATATCCCTAGCTCAGCAGGGCAGTTCTTCTTTCTCTGGGCCTACTCTGCCCTTGATATAAGACTTTTCATTCTTGGTGTCTCCAGCCATCACCTCCCTTGCCGCAAGAACCAGCAATTATTCGTATCTGACCTGCTGCCTATTCAGAAGAAAAGTTAGTCTTCACTTCCTCACATTTTTCAAGGAGTATTTCCACTGATTTGGCATGCTATTAACATCCCTGCAAATAGCTTAGGCCAGGATCCTCCTCAAAACAGCCTGAATTGTTAAAGCTGTATTATTTCTTTATAATGTTGAAACTTGCTAGATTCACTTTAGATAGTCCTCTTTTTAAGCTTCCTTTCAGCTATGGCTACAGAACCTCAGTCCCCACAGACTTGAAAGTGACTGATACTATCTTGAGGAAAGCAACACAGTTATGTATGTGTATTTGAAGTAATGCACACATTCAGCATAGGCCATGCTAAGCTTCCCAAACAGAGCTGTTATAATGAACAAGGCCATTAGCAAGTTGTCTCTAATGCCATATGCCTGACAGATTGCTCCCTTTGTGTACCCTTTGGAGAAATTGAGCAACAGAGGTTGGTATAAGATTAATATTTGAAAGATTGATGGAATGTTGGAGCTAAACAGCTGGTCAGGGCACACAGCTTCAGCCATGGAAAACCTGCCCCCTTCTCTGCAAAACGCCTTCTCTCACAGCCCTGCCCTGGCACACGAGACAAGTACATGGGCAGCCCCCTGCCAGCTGCTTCCAGCTCTGCAGGGACTCTGAGGATGATGTGGCTGGGCTGTGCCAGCCCACACTCTCCATGTGCAGAGTTTTACACAGCTGGAGCTGGGGAGCTTAGCTGTGGTCACCCTCAATGCTGCACAAACAGGAAGTGCCTCCTTTCATCACCAAACCAGAGAGTTCAGCCTCTGTAGCCCGTGGTGAGAGCATCCTTTCCTGAGCGCTGCACAAAGACTTTCAGATAAACAGGTGCTAGATAAACAGATGAACAGCTAGAACAAGCACTAGGCCTATGTTAACAACTAGTTTTGTTCATAAGAAGTGACAAATTCAGCGAGGAGGACAAGAACAGGACAGATTCATCACAGATGTTGTGTGAAAACATTTGGTTTTTGACTTCTGCTGCCAGAATGATAATAAATGAATCCTCTAACCTACCTCTACCTGTCAGTAACTAAAAGCTTGCTGCAAACTGAACTAATGAAAGGCATCTACAGGTTCTAAGGGCATTGGTCAGCATTGGAAAAGATCAGGCACTGCAATCTGTCCAGCATGTTAACTTCCTTCTACCAAAGCAGGATACCATTTGTCACTGGCCCTTATCAGTAGGTACTGCTCAGAGATAAAGAGCTGTGAGGACCCAGTTGACACTGCACATTTAACACACAAAACTTGAAAGTGAAAACACACTGACAAAGACAGTGTGACATTATACCTGCAGCCTGGAGAGGAGGGCTGCTGTGACCACACAAACCTTGACCAGCCTCTCAGGCTGATTCAAGCAGCAATGACCAGCCTTCGCCAGATTGTTTCAGCTACACTTCTCCTTTCAAAATCCCCAGTATCCATCAGCTTGGAGAATGATGTTCATCAACTCCAAAGATACCCAACACCAATTTAGAAACTAAAGTAAAAATAAACTACTCAGTCTCTAGTTTCTCATTTTAGTAGTTTGGCTGTTTAACCTAGGGCATCCTAAGTTAAAAACCACACCTCTTACACCCCACATACACACACTGAATTTTTTTTACTGCTCACTGTTGTCAGGTTTTCACTGTAAGACTGATACTCTCTACTAGTACTAGGCAATACTTAAGAGTAAGCAGTTATAGGAAATTTAATAGTTATGGCCTTCCTGAGAGGGAAGGGAATGGAAAAAAAATAAACAAATAAACTTCAACCCCTCTCCCTTTAAAAGAAGTCTTCTCAATAATTCTAAAGATGAAATAGCTGAAAGTGAAAAAAAAAAAAAACAAAACAGGGACACAGCATCAACTGAAGTGTTTTAATAGAACTCATTACGGGCCCTTAAAAAAGGGTGATGGCACATACACACTCACTTATCATTTATCAAAAACAACTGCCAGACATTGGGAAAGAAGCCAACCTGTGTATAGCCCTAATTTATTTATTTGCATATAAAGATGAAAGCATTAGAGGGTTGGACACTGAATGGAAACCAGCCATCCTCACCCAGAGCACTGTATGTTGCTCATTAACTGGGAGTCCTGGGGTATCCAGTCCACAAACCCAGCAGTGTTTAAGCTGGTGCTCATGGTTAAGCACGGTAACAGTTGGTAATTACACACCTGTGGATAAACCTTTATACATTAAAAGCTGTATACAAGCATTAACCAGTCCAGCTGAAGATTTGAGAGGTAAAGCCTTTCAGGAATACATGCACCCTTTTTTTGCAGGCACAAATGAACATATGATGTCAGTGCTTGGAGCCAGGTGAGAACAACAGTGCTGTGGAGTGCTGCTCAAAACAACAGGACAAGTAAAAGTGCTGTGTCTGTGGTGACAGCACCACAAGCTCCTGCTTCCCAGCTGGCTCAGAGAATGGACACCAGAACTGAAGTCTAAAGCACAGACACAGGTGACACCTATCTACAAAATATAATGCAAACATACCTTTTGTTGTCCTAGTTGCAAGTAAAGGAACAGGAAAAACAGTTAGCATATTTAATCTAAAGAAAAAAACCTAAAAAACTACCAAAAAAGTCCCATCCAAAGTGCAGTCTTTGTCAAGGTGTGTGTTTTACTGCTATATATTGTAACTGATCTAGGCTATCATGCAGAATGAAGAAGCAAATATCCCCATGTGTCAGCCTTTAGAATCATGTGGTGTCACCAGTATGACCTTACCTTCCCAGCTCTTCCTCAATTTCGTAAACGTCCTCCACCTTCTGTTGCTTGAAGAGAGCCATACTTGGCCTTTCATTGATGCTCAAGGATTATGCAACTAGAATATTAATGAAGAATGACATTCATTACATCTTGCAAGGGCTAAGTCTCCGTAACACTACATCGAGACATATTGTTATTCTCACACATCCATACACACAACAGCATATCTTGTCAATGTAATGTGCTTTGCTTTGTGAATCCACTACACTGCTTCCTTCAGATGCACTGGGGACTTCCAAGTTCTATACCTCTATACAGCTCCTGCATATTTTTAAATTGCAGTCATTAGCATCTGACTGGTCCATTTTGTAAAGCATATTTCACAAGCAAACAAAGCTCTGTTTTGATCCTTTAGAAATAAGTTCAATTCATTGTTGCAAGAAGATTCAGCAGACCCATAAAACAGGACTAAGTATCCAAGAGCAATTGCAGTATTCCTGTCAAACTGAAAGGCACGCAAATTGAAGATTTTTCTCCGGCAAAAGCAGGTAATGTAAGCAGAAAATACATTGTAAAAATCTAACAATTCCTCAATACACACCCAAGCTGCCATCATTCACTCACCTCAGAAAAAAGATTGGTTGCTTTGTTTGCCCCAGCCCTTTTTACAAACCATTGTCTTCTAATACATGGGTGGCATGTTGAGTATCAATTCCTTTCCAAACATGCTCCTTCTATTACTTCAAAGGAACAGAAAGTCTCCTAGCACTTCTACATAAATATATATTTTTAGCTAATGTTAGCAAAACCAACATTAGGAGAAAAATTTCTTGACTGCTTTATGTCAAGCAGAAGGGCTGCTACATCAACACTTAGAGCCACAGCTTCACCACTGTCAGATGATGAGTATTTCAGTTACACATCAGAACTGTGACAGTAAGATAAATCTCCCACAAAGGACCCATCCCATCCAAGCCCATAGCCTTACTTTAATAGGCTGAGGACAAAGCTGTTGCAGTGTTCAGACCCCTAGTGGTACCTCTGATGCACTGGTGTTTCCCTTGACTTATCACTTCATGTTATCCTATCCTGCCTTCCACAGATCTCTCCCTGGCTTTCACTCAACAATCACACTTAGCAAATGCCCAAAATAGATCAAACACTTGATGACCCAAAGCAACTGCCACTGGCACAACACAAGGGGGTAAGCCAACAAAAGATAACCTTCACACACTTAAAATTCATCTGAAATAGAAGTTCTCCTCACATAATCACCTTTTATTGCTGTATCCAACTCTCCTTAACATAGGCCAAATACCACAAGGCAGCAAAGCACTGCTTATCCTGTGTGAATGGTTTTACTACAGACATGAAACAAAGCTGTAGCAAACCCAGAAATAGGATACAGGCTCTGAGATGGCAGTTTCAGGCACTAGAAACTTTCAGGCACTAGAAACATGTCCTGCCTCATCGCTTAACATTCTTCCTAAACTCTGCCCGACCATAAAATAGGATCATATTTACCCTAAGAAATCACAGTTTCCAGCATATATTTAAACACGCATACTTAATATCAGTACAATCCTTGGATAAAGACATTCATATTGCAGTACAGAAGGGCCCTTTTTAGTGCAGCTTGTCTTGCATCAATCTACAGAAACCCACTCTTCTGTAGAGAGTGACAGAATCCCTCTCAAGAGGAGTTCTATTTCTCACCTGTAATGAAGTTTTCCCTGCACAGGTAAGTTATTAGCCTGTCATTAACAAATTATGTGACAATCACTGACTGGTTTATACATGTCAAACCCATGATAAATATCTACCCACCAGTGAATAAGAGCAGAATACAGAAATCAGAGGTGAGAACAAAACTGTTGGAGCACTTCCCTTGCCAACAGCCTTGCTTTTTTTTTCCTGTGTTTCTTCTGTCCTAAGGAAACCAGTTTCAAGTGACTGAGGTAACAGCTGAATAATCTGACTTTCTCAAATACACCTGACATAAACTGAATCTTTAAACCCTTTGCCAAACTGCATGTTTGTTGAATGAATGCATCATTCCCTGTGGCATGCTTTTATATTACAAAACATTAGTTACACTAAACCAAAATCCCAAACCCATTAGAACAGACCAAAGTAAAAACTTCCTGTATTAACTGTTTTATAATACTGAAAAATAACCACAATCAATTCAGAATCAAAACCGGACTGTTTTATATTAATGATCTGGAAAGAAAACCCCAAAACTCCAAACCCATTAAACAAAGTTACATTGTCTTCTAGTTTTGGTGTTTTATGCTAAAACTAAATAGATTTTTATAAGCATTAAAGTATTTTCTTCTTTCACTTTCATTCCTTTTTTCACCTTTCTTTCTTTTTTCTTCTATCCCACAAAAGACTAAGCAATTCCAACAGCAAAGAAACCCCCAAACAACCCAAGTGGGTTTTACCCTCTGCTTTCAAACAAGCGTAGCACCGTTTAAAATTCTATTAATTTCAGCAAACTCTAATTTTCACTAAAACATTTTCCTGTCAGAAAACAAATATATTTCTGCCAGGAAATGGAGTCAACAATTACTAGCTGTAACACAGGTATTTTTACTTTCTTTACTTTTAATATACTTTCAATTACTACCTGTACTACACAACACACACGCAGCATCTGAGCAATTCAGCCCCATTATAGAATCACTCCTCCTGCCACTAACTCTCAAGATCCCCCTTTCTGACCTCCCAAATTTACCCTGCAGTGGTGTGGTGAATAACCCAAGACTGTATTTCCAAGCCTCCACTTCAAGCATATGTACCAACCACATTGGCACTGCAGCTAATTCCAGCTGCTAGCCAAGGGCAGGGATCCCAAAGGCCGGCATGCCTGAGCGATGAGCTGGGTGGGAGCGCAGCCTGGACACTCAGGGCACAGGGGAAGCCCGCAATGCAAGGAACGCTGGCATGGAATGGGCACAACCCTGCTCCCGTCCCTGAGGCGCCTTCAAGGATTAGTGCTGCATATAACTCACATCACTGCCCCAAAGTCAAGGGAGACCTCGCCTCAGTGATCTGTGTTTCTCACACAAGCAATTGAAAGGCACAGGAAAGGCTGAAACAAGCTGATATTTCAGAAAAGAGTCAGAACTGAGCGTTTCCCTCACACACTAGGCAGGTGAGCATTGCCATTTTGGTCTTTCTGCAGCTGGTGTAAATCAGCACTTTGGCTGATCAGCCAAAGCAGGAGCAATTGCCACAGATTTCCACCCTCTAATTCACATCTTCTTCTTGACTGTTCTCCACAAGGATGCAGGCCAGGCCAAACCTGTTCCCTCCACCGTGTTGTGCTGCTCCAGGACACCCGGCTCATCGGCCAGAGGAACAGGTGCAAAGAAAGCAAATTGAAGCTGTTTGAGGGGAAAGGCAGGAAGAAACTTGCAGATGAATGATGGAAGTTGCACAGCATTCGCTGAATACCAACAGCAAACTGAGCCTGAACCCTGGACCAGCCGTCCCCGATGGCCTCGGACAGGAACAACGCCAGAGCGAGCGGTGTGTGACACCAACAGGGGCACCCGTGGAACCGCTGCATTGCCCGGGCCCTGTGGGACCTGCTCGGGGATAACGCTGCCCGTGGCGGGGGTGCTGTGGGGAGCTGCCTTTCTCCCCGGCTGGCGGCTGCGGGCACTCACAGAGCCAGTGCAGACACCGTGAAGAGGCCAGGGGTTCGTACCCCGGCAGCCCCGCGGCAGGGACCGGCCGCAGGCCCTGGAGCTGCCCGGCCAGAGGGGCTGCACAGCCGCGACACCTCAGCCCCTGAACCGCGGCACAGGCAGGACACGGAGCGGGAGCGCCGTGAGGGCGACTCAGCGCAAGTGACGGACCCAGAGGAACACGGACAGGGGAAGCTGCGGAGGCGCTGCCAGCTGAGGGGACTGAGGGGGCTTACCGCGTCCGCCGGGCTCCCTGGCGCGCAGGGTCGGGCCGGAGCGGGCGGGGGCTGAGGGCGGAGGGGCCGCGGCCGGCTGAGGGAGGGGCCTGGCTCCACGCTCCGCCCAGGGCAGCCCCGTGAGGAGCGGGCGGGCGCTGCCGGGCTGGCCGCAGGGGCACCGGGGCAATCCCCCCGGCCTCAGCAATCCTGTTTGGAGCCGATACAGCCTCCGGGACACCCGGCATCACCCGGGGGCTGTGCCAGCCCTGCACTGTCCCTGATGGGATGCAGATGCCTCAAACTGGGCCAGGTCAAAGCCTTCCAGACCAACACAGCTCACCCAGGCTGACTGGGAAACATCTCAGATGTAGAATCCCATTTCCTTGCTTTAGTAGATACAGGATACGTGGAGGCAATACCAAGAAAATAAGACTGAGGAGGCAAATCCAATTGAGAGGCACTTAAGTTGTATAAGCTGTGTTTCTGTATTCTGTACAAGCCGAAACACAAACCCAGATTGGTTACTGCGTGGTCTGAAACTCGCTGTTACCCAGTGAAATTGCCCATTGTTTCAAGAGACCACTGTGATAAAGAATAGCACAGGCTCCCAGACCTCACTGTGCAGCTCCAGCTGCCTTCACATGCACGACTCTAACAAACCTCTGTCATCCTGCTTCCCAAGCTGCCACAGCCCCAGAGCCGGCTTCCAACGATGGCATCCTTCATTTGTTCACTCTCCTATCATGACATCCCCAAAACCTGTAAAACTAGATTTTCTCTGGCTTTATTTGGCACACAGTAACTGCAGTAAACACTCTTAGGAGTTCTTACATTTCTTTGAGGCAGGTTAATATCCATCATTTGCTAATGAGAAATGATGTAGGGTTGTTCACACCTTCAAAATAAATTGCCTTCATTTCCAAACCTCTATATGATTAATGTAACACAATGGCAAATTATCATACACAAATAAGCAGGTTGTTTTCCTGTGCAGTAAGGTGTGAAGATAGATAAATTTAAGAGTGATTTTGTTTTAGGCAAGTACCTAAAGGCAGTGTTTTTTATTACCACAGTTAAAAAGAAACTTGGCTTGTCCCAAGTCAAGAGGACTGAACTGTGCCCTTGATTGCTGGCCCTGGGAGTGGTGTCCACAGCCCACGAGTTCCACCCAGCTCTTCCAAGTCCAAAAGGAAAGTGGCTGCATCTGATACTACACAGGGTGGAGAACAGGAAACGGGAGCAATAGTAAATATTTTAAATGGCAGTAGAAGCATTCAGAACTCTCTCAAAGGGAAATAAAGATATTTAATTTCTCACCTTTAGTTTTACAGTGGGATATGATCACGTGGAAGTCACAGCAATCATACTACAAAATTCTCAGAGCAAAGGGAACATGAGGAAGGCCACTGCTTTTGTTTGCTCCTAGCTGCAAGGAAGGGAACAAACCCTGAGAGGCTACAACTGTTTTTGAAATTGGGTCAAGCTCTCCCTAGACCTGTGTTTTGTTATTTTGTAGTGTATTTAATTTACAAATGGTTTGTTCCATTCCCCCCTATATTGTTAAGTTGTACATTCCTACCTAGATGTCTGTCTTCCCCTAGACCTACCCCTATATCCAGAAAGTTTGTCACTGAGGGACACAATGTATTGAGGATTCTTCAGATAATCTGACACACACAGCTGCTTCGTGAGGCAAAGAAAGCCTTTATTTCAGGGTTTTCTCAACCCTTATAAAGATTTTCCCACCAGGTTAACCTGAGTGGTAGAAGGAACAACACCCCCTTTGGTCCCATTGGTGGGACCAAAGAAAACTCATCAAGAACATCTGTTCAGTATTGTTTGGAGAAACATAATCTATTTACAATAACACAATCCTGGAGAGAAAACTGTCCCCAGGAACTTTTCCCCTGGGAACAGATGAGCCCCTGACAGGCTGAAACTCTCAGGCTCAGAAAACCTGTCCACAAAAGTTCCCTGTTCCTCCTCCCACTACCTGTCATTTCCCTTTATACCAGCTCCTTGGACCAGAAAGTTTCTTGTCAATCCCCCTTTTTGTACCCACCCCTACTTTGGAAATCCCCTAATCTTTGCTGCTCTATTGGTTTGTTTAAATTGTTCCCTCTTCTTGTGCTCCCCTATTAGTTGGTGGACTGTATATCCCACCCTGGGATCTTCCCCTGTGTACTCCTTATTGGTTGGAAATTGTACTCTCCCCTTGAGACTCCCCCCCATTTAAACCCCTGCACAGCTTTGTTTACTGTCTTTCATTCCTGGACCCTACAGAAGAATAAATCCTTTCTGGAACCTATACAAAAGACCTCTCCCTTGCCTTTACCTCCACCTTTGGCGCTCCAACTATTCCTGTGCTGGAGAGCCTCTGACCTAGCTAAGCTGCATCTGGAGTTTTTACTCCTGAGAGCAGCCCACACTGTGGCATGGTGAGCTAACAGGTTGAGTCTGGCACCGCCTCATGGACCCAGAATAACCTCACTTTGAACAAAGGTTTCCAAGAGCAGCAAAGGTAGATTGAATAGGTTCTGCCTAATTAGGATGTTGTTCTTTCATGGTTCTGTTATTCACCCTTGAAACACTAACTCAAGACTTCTTTGTAACATCTTTGGATGAAGGTAAAAGCCTTTATTTGCAGACAGGACAAGAACAGAAAAATCAAACCTGAGCAGTGTTTCAAGTGGGCAGCACCAGGCAAACACTGCAGCCATACATTTACAAGCTTCCTTTAGTAGGAAACTCACACCTTATGTTCCAAATGGGGAGTTCCAGGATTAAAAACCAGAAAAACAACACCTGCATTTCATAAAACAGGCAAATAACTTATTCCACAGTTTAATCACCAATCACAGTGCCTGAAGACATCACTGATTCCATTCATCAGCTCAAACTTGACATCTCAGGGGCAACTCCCTGCACAACCTAGCTGGTTTGTACACACCAAAGGTACACTGCATTTGAGAGACAAAGGCAGGATGCAGCTGCTCAAGACTGAGGGAATCTTAGTTGGCCAAAGACATCTTAATTTACCAGGAATATTCTAGCATTGAATGTTTTAATTACTGGAGGTATATATTTTTAATAACTGTGGTTTTTAAAATCACATTCAGTATGTGAAAAACAGAGTTCACTCTTTAGAATTTTTAGTTTTATAAAGGATGAAATAATCCAGTGCTGGGGTGCTTTTGGCAAATGGCCAAAGAGCACAGAGGTAGCTTAAAATCCTGTTCTCTATATATGGTTACATTGCTGGGGTTACATGCATATTCATTAGCTTATACATTATTCAAACCTTCCTTTGAGTTTTTGATGTTCTAGGAACTCTCGTTTGGTTTTAAGCTCTGACTTGTCTGCAAGACATTCTGTAAATTAGGTCCATATATTTTATTTCTTCCCATAGTTTTATCCTGTTGGTTCACCATCCCTGATAACGCCAATAGTCGATAAATCCTTCCCAGCTGGTTATGCTCTGTTTCTTGTCACTGTTGCCTTATTATTACTTTACACTATTGTCTGAATTTGCTACATAGAAATACTTTAGTCTCTCTTTTAACATTTTGCTAAGGCCTATAATATATTTATTATACTACTATTCATATGAACTATACAATGCATACATAAACTGACAGATTATATAAAGCAGTTAAAAGTAAGTATAAGTTGTACTGTATCAAAATACTTGTGATGGAAAAAGCTAATCTATGAATGTGGAAGCCAACACTATTTTATCATTTATACCAAGTATATAGTCCTGCATTTTGCTTTCTAGTCTCATGCTCTGAAAAGCTGTCACTACAGGTGGGTATCCTTGAACTGTGGACAAATGTAGCTTTTCCAGCAGATCATCACAGTGCAAATACCACTCTGCTAACTACTGATTTAACCTTCTACCTTATTTTCTAGGGGGGAAGTTTCCAAGGCAGAGCACACCCTTCCTTTGCATTATCTGAGGGAACATATTTCATGTGTGGGAATTCTTAATGCTTCAGCACTACATGGATTCTGCTTTCTGTTGAGGTCAGGGAGCTGCAGATAAGGAAGCTATGCTTAGCACTTCTGAAAATCCCAAAGAAGGAACACCTGATACCTTGTAATACCAGCAGATTCAGTGTGTTCTCTGCATCTCTGAGGCACCCAGAGCATAGAGAGATTCTGCAGGTATTTGGTCTTGGTTCAGAGTATGCCAGCTGTGTTTATCCTAAGTTATGCATTCCTTAGGAACCAGGTTTTTAACATACATCAGCCACACTCACACCCTTATTGCAATCCCATTGAGAGCAGATGCTTCAAGCTTAGTTCCAAGGAGCAAATGGGAGTCTCAGCTGTTCTTTACAGGCCCCAGCAGCTGTACAACCTACTCAAGCTAAGCATGCCAAGTATCCAAGTGAGGACATTGCTCCCCATGCACTCTCTTCCCAGAATTTTCTGTTTATTTCTCTGACTATAAACTTTCAGTAAACAGGACACGAGGTCTTTAGGCCATAGTTGTGTTCTGCCTCAACTGATGATCTCTATCCTGTTTTGCAACCCCTTTGAACAGATTTCCAGCTGTGCCAATATCTACTCCTATAACAGCTTGTCATTCTGTAGCAGAGACAGAGGACAAGAACTGTGCACTATTCACCTCTGCTATGAAAGACATGCTTGGATATGCAATTACAATCATGTCCTAACTCTTATTTTTTCCTCCCTTACATTAAGCTATTAAGTTACGTAGCTGAAATAGCTGAGGTATTCAAACCTCTTTAAGGGAATCAATTCCAAAATGCAAAATGCATATCTGAAAGACAGATATTGAGACTTGATTTCCAAATTAATTGAGTTTGATTAAATTTTCAAAGCAGCTGAAATTATTTATTTTACTACAAAAGACTGTCAGAACATCAGTACCAAGCCTCCTAAAGAAGTTTTTGGGGTGTCAGGAGATATTATACAAATATGTTTCCCAGAAAGTGTGTGAACTCTGAAAATTCCTGTACTCATGCAAATTTTGTCTCATTTCTTCCTCTTCTCCCAAAGATAAAGGATACCAATGACAAGCTTACCCAGTCAGCATCACCTGCATGCAACATGTCTATGGTTCACATCTTCATGCTTCAAAGCCAAATTTACATGTATGTTCCTTTATAGAGATTCTCTCAAACTCCGTTATCAGCCAAAAATACAAGCTCTACCACTGGCTTGTTCTGATGACACCTGCAGATATTTCCATCTGTTACAGGGGGAAAAAAAAGGAAGAAACAGAGCAATATATAAAGCAATAAACAATTTATTTTTTCTTTACATCAATCTTTGTGAAGATAGTATCACTTTTGTTTGTGATTCAAATTTCTTGTACCGCATATTGCTGATTTTTAACATGGCACTTAAGGGAACAGTCACTTAAACAGCTACACAATTTCATTAAATTAATCAATTTTCTGTTTCTCAGTTATGTGTCTGAACATACAATTCTGTCAAATTTAAGACCGTTCATTCATGTTTGATGTTTTTTAAGGAAGAAAAAAAATCTTTCCTTTTTGCTGAAATATTATGTTTATAAACACTGAGGGAAAGGGGAGAATCACAGAAGACACTGAAGGGAACAACAGAAAAATAATTTTTATTGATTACACAGGTGGTAAAAAGAACACCAAACTATGTGATAACACTGGAGGATAACACTACCTGTACACATGTACAGGTCAAGCTGAAATACTGTGCAGTTCTAATAACTAGAGGCGTAGTGCACCAATTTTTTGCCTATTTAATAGAAGATATAGACCCTGTAATGAAAAGTTTCACTGGGAAGCCATGCACACATGAATAGAGATAGAGGAATATTCTGCATGATGCAACTTAGTGGTCTGGGTTATATCACATATTCTGGGAACCACGTATGGGGAACTCTTTGCATGTTACATGCAAGGCCTTGAAGTTAAATTATCATCTTGGCAGTTGTTGTGTGCATGAACAGGTCAATTGCCCCCTATCTGGCTGGCATGAATGGTAAACCTCATGCACCACTTCAGAAGTTCACACACAAACACAAACTCTTGAGCTCCGTGCAGTTCAGCTTTGGCAGACAACTGAGGCACAGTGTATTTTGGCCTGGTTTCATCAGGATTAAATACTGCCTGTGTATCCTGCATGTCTCTAATAAGTTACTGCTCTCCAAGGTAACCAGATTTAAGCACCCCCAGAAAACTTAAGTCACACAACGACATTTGCAACAGCAAGCAAGGCAAGTTCCCCTGATGTTATTTCCTGCTATACACATCTTATTTTTGTTCCACAGAGACTTCTAGTGGCCAAAGGTGAGAAGCCTCTGCAATTTTTTGACCTTTTAGCTCTCACTAAACCAGTAACAAGACTTAACAAAATGAAGCCAACAGCTTGCTGGAAACTTGAGCATAACAGCATTGACTCATTACATATCTGCAAGCTGTCAAAATACCTGGAGACAACACAACTTCCACAGGGTTCTTAACATTCATGGGTGACAGTCACACTGTGGCAGAAGAAACAGAGCTACTTAATTTTACTGTACAATTGGAAACAACTTAATAGAATGAAACACAGCAACACATGCACACACAAACTGATCCATCAGCACAACTCTAACAAAAATGGTCCTGTAATATTGCAGGTCTTGTTTTGTCAGCTACAGAACTTCCTGAACCATTGTCTTAAAGTTAGCTTTATCTTCACAACCCAAACACTTTGATGGAATCAGTCTGAAAACACCTCCTGAAGTCATAGGACTAGCTCATAGTGAAGACTCAAAGCCAAACAAAAACAGATTGTAGGAATAGGGTAAGTACAACAATCTAAATTCTTCACCTTACTATTTCACTTGTGCTCACTGAAAGGAAGATCTTCACCTTAAAAAAGAATTCATTTAACACTTTACAACAATATTAAAACAAACATACAAACAAAAAGCCTACATTACATATTGACTTAGAGACCAGCTCTTTCAAAACCAAGACAGCATAACTAGAAAATTAGAAAACTTGGTCCCATTTTTGTATTCAAATACTGATTGTAAGTAGAAAAAGAATACAGTACATGCAGTAATATCAAAACCCTGCCCTCCAGTACACAACCAAAAGTAACTAGGGAATTAGAAAAAATCCCCAGCTACTGCTTACCACAGACAAATGTAGGGGACATTTTTGAAGACTAATAGTGTATAAATTAATATGATCACACCATCAGTTCCTCATTGGCAAATATCTGCTGGCTAGGTAAAAATTATGTGTCATACAGGAAGCATAAATTTTATACCAAAATTAGTCCTCTAAGTTACAACTTCATCATTGATCAAATAGTTCCCTTCCATATAAACTAACTTACAATATGCTTACTTGGAGAAGGCTGCAACTGTTATCTAAAATAAAACTTTTTTAAAAGTGCTGTGAAACAGAAGCAGGATTTCTCTCCGCACACACTTAAATTGACTAAAATGATTACACAATTACACCCAATAAAGCACTACTATTTCTGAAAAACAAAACACATAAAATACAAGCTTGACACACTTCACTCTTCCCAATGATTAGTTTTGTTTTTTGCCAATTAACCACTTCCCCAGAGCTCAGTGATTTGCTAGTATTTGAATCCTAATTTTATCATGACACATTACAGTCAATCCAACATTCTGAAGATCCAACAGTTCAAGAAAAAATACTGCAAAAGTCCAGACAATAGCCAGCAAGTAAGAAAGTGTCCTGCTCTCCAGAACCATTTATGAGCACTGCTAGTCACCAATTTCAACAGCAGAAATAGCACATTTCAACAGCCTAGATGTTGCTCCTTACAGCTGTCTTGCAGGAAGTACATCCAACACTCACAGTAAGGCTGAGCACATTAGGAGAATATTGCATTTTTCTTTTGGAAAAGGATCTTCAGTTCCCGTGTGCATGTTGTGACCTTTAGATTCCTTTGACTGGTAAATATTTGTATTACGAACCCAGTCCCTACCATTATTGTACAACAGTTCCACAATCATGCAGAAAGAACACTGTGTTTCTTCTTAAATTAGCTCCTAAAGCATGGTACTCCTGTGACAAGCTCCATTATTCCATAGTATCTGGAGTTTGGTTGTGACCTTTTTAAACCATTGCAATCAAAAAAGTGAATACAAATAAAATTGATTGAATAGAGTTTGATCTATAAGCCCCTTTGCATTAATGAGAATCTATCAACACAGCTGCTCTGAAAAGTAGAAATTATGTTTGCTATCACTGTTTCAGTACACACTCGACAGTCAGTGACAAAAATAGGTACTTAGGTACTTATTTTACCTTTACTTTAGAGCACATATATTCAAGTGTTCTGTTTGGTGACCCATTGCATGACACTTCAGGAAAAGACAAAGGAATCTTCCTCCCATGCTTTTCTGGTTAGTGACCTCAAGAATGGCTAGATAGAGCTAACCTGAATCCAAGAAATATGATGTCCTCTCACATTGAGCCTGCACTACGAAAAACATGATTACATCAAAAAAACTCTAAACTCAGAATGGCAATGAATGTAACAGAGCATGGACATTTCTTATTGTTTCACATTTAGGCATTAATGGTGCACTGTGAGAAAACAACTGTCAATTCAGCTAAAAGACTAAACTGAGACAGATATTAAGTGCTCTACAAATGACTCCATGAACATAAATGTAAACAGAATTATTTGGCCTCCATACAAAGTGGTATTTCTGAAAGTCCTGGGATTTGAAAATCTGTCCTGCATATTTCCAAATGCAACGAGTTTACATTCTGTTTGACAGGATTAATAAAGTGTTTTGGAGGTTATCTCACTTTGGTCATGATCCCAAGGAACAGTTTATATTAAGCACTTTCAGCTGTCCTCCTCATCATCACTAATAAGGTCTCTTTTTTCTACGCAGGTCTCTCTCTCGCGCAGGAAGTCCTCACGAATGGCTTCCAGCTCCGTCAGCTCCAGGCGCACTTTCTCCAGGTGATATGCCCTGCGGTTCCTGATCTGGCGTAATGGAAAAGGATTCAGGTCTCCAAAAGCAATAGCAGTCAGTTTCCTGCAAGATTACACAATGGTAGAAGACAATAATTCATATTTTGTGGGCTTTTAAATCAGTTTTAAACTTCATCCATATTGACTTCTATCATATGTCACATATCTCTGGTCTCTTCCACACTTGAATAGGTCTCACATGTTATCAATATTTCAAGAAATTTCTATAAAGCATTCAGGCTTAAGGTTATTTCAAGTGATAAAGTGTAATCAAACGCTCAAGAGTTTCCCCAAGCCACTTGTAAACTCTGCTCTAGAGATCACCACCTTGAAATGCTGAGCAGGAGACATAAGCTTGGCTATCAGAGCTTCCCTGGCTGCACTGAATGCTCAGTACATCCAGTTACCCGTTACAGATCTGATAATTTCCTCCACAGAACCCTCTGCAGCTCCTTCAATCCCAAGCCACTCAGCCCTCCAGTTAATCAAGATAACCTGACAATCAACAGACCAGATAAAGCCAGGGACAACACAAATGTGGACAAGGATAAAGCAGAACACCAACACAGTGAGAATGTTCTGGGGTTCTGCTACCTGCAGCACAGAGACCTCTGGGCCAGTGTCAAGCCAAACTTGCCAGGGCACAATTGCACCAGAGAGGATCCAGCCCCCTTCCAGAGTCACACTGCAGTCCCAGCAAACCCAGCAACTGGTCAGTCTAATCAGTCCAAAAAGACTGCATCCAACTATATCATTATTGCTGATCTACACCCAAAAACATCTAATTGTTTACTAAGGAAAAAGGGGAACTAGAATATTTAATTTATTCTATTTGAGTTATCAGAAATAAATATTAAGAAAACTTCTTTGGACAGTTTATTTAATGGTAGGTTTGTATTTTTGAGTGATCAAGGAATTATTTCCTGCTATTTCTATACAGAATATATTCCAGCAGCTTCTCTACCTGCACACAACATGCCATGGCTGTATAAAAAAACCCAGCTATGACATCCTATTCCTACTAGAATATAATTATGCATGTGTCTGTAGAGACCTTTCTCTTATTACAGAGTTTGAACTTAAACTCTGTGCAGAATGATTTTAACCCATTCAGAACATCCATGAATTCTAATCTAATAAATATTTCTGAATTTTCCCTCTACAACAGGATCATTTTTTGTCCGTATCAAGAAAGAACTCATTCTACGTGCTTTGGTACTGCTCAAATGATGATGATGTAAAACTGGTACAAACAGCAGAATAAGAAATCAAGCAGCTTGAATCATGTCCTGTCAGTCCTAGAAGGCAAATCCATATTCCCTAGGTGGCACTGCTCTGCTTCCACTCTTAAAACCCCAAAAGGCAGAGACTTACAGATCAGCACAGAGCACATCTGTATTCCAAGCATCTTTGATGTACTGAATTCTGCCCTCACCTGAACTCCCCATTTCTCAATGATCCCTCATTAGTTCATTTTGTTACCACCAAATTCAGCAATTTTAGAAATCTTTAAAACAGGTTATTTCAGCACCAGAAAGTTTAGACAGGAGAATCAAGATACCGTTTCCATAAGTGGAAAAAGAATGGAAAGCCTAATCTTCACCTCTGATTAAATATCAAAATTTTGTTTGAATTGGGTAAGGAAAAAAAAAAAAAAAGATTTTTTTTCTCTCTGCATCAATCCCAGCAATCCCTTTCAAGCACAAGATTATTCAGCCTTAACTTCTCTCCAGTCGAAACTAAAACACAGTAAGTAAAAATAATAAAGCTCTTGCAGCAGGAGTCAAAGTCTAGGCCTAAATTGATGTGGAGTTTATTATGCTAAAAAGAAACAGCTCACATTTCAATATACAATTTTGCTCTAAATTGAATATTAGCGAGCTTCAAAAGATGTGCAAAACATTTTCAGACATTAAACCAATCCCAATATGACTTTTCTTTTTAAGATTAACCGGCTGCTCTACAGTCTTGAAACCAGGAATCTAAAAACACTAGACCCTAATTTACCAACTGTAAGTCCTACGCAAAGACTGAAGACCAGAAAAGTATCTAATTTGTATTTATTCTCTGCTTCCAAGTTTATCTTAAAATCAGCTGGAACTATGTGGCAGGAGCCTGTGCATTAACCATGCATAGGGGATCTAAGTCGTGGGGGACACAGCTCACATCTTTAATGCTTGAGCCAGGATGTACTTTTATTTATCATAAAATATTTTACTAACAAGTTGCATCTGCAATGCAGAGGAAAAACTTCACCTATGGTTAAAATTCAGATGTGTCGCTACCATGAAACAACACGTAAACAAGGTAATCTCATTCACACACAAAAATTACTATTTAAGCCTACATCACTTCTGATTTGTCTCTGCTAGATAAAAGTGCTCATGACAAATCCTAGCAGTTGGCTGCATCTCTAGTTGCTTTATGTCTGAATTAGGATCTAGATGAAAACAACACCAAAGCCACAAGACAGACATCTCCCATGGCCCACTAAAAGTCCTTCAGTGCCACTCCAGTGTGAGTTACCCACCTGGCATCAAGGATGGTGCGTGTGAAATAGCGAAGGTACTTGAAAATAGACATTGAATCTTGCAGTTTTAAGATTTCCTCTTCCTTGTATTTAAATAGTGCCAGGGCAAATCGGAATATTACCTGATAAAAACACATACAATATTTAGTGCTTTGTAGGTACAGAATACACTGAGTCTCATTATCATCTTTATAAACTCACAGCAAGAGTTCCTCATGCACAGGCTGCACTTGAGCCCTCTCATCACATCTCCCTCTATCTACCTTCCCTGCCCCAGCCCCTATTTCCAAAAGCTGGAAAATGTTTTGAATGGTTATTTATGCACAGTTCCTCCCTTGCTTTTTTTCCTACCAGTCATTTTAACTGACAGGAGTTTTGCAAACAACCTTCCTTTAACCCTGCACTCGGTAACACCACAGTACTTTGTTATCAGGTAACAAATTAACAAATCAGCCCATTCAGTTCACCTTTGGTCCCTCATAGAGGAAGGAGTCCCAGATTTTGAAAAGGATGTCACTAACAACACTGTCCACAAAAACCACAAGAAACCAGTTGAAAGTGATGAGAGTATAATCAACTTTATATTGTTCAAAATGAGCATGTAGTCGTGGAAGCTTTTCACTCAATAAATCCTTAAACACTCGCTGATCAACCTAAAGAGATGACAAATAGGGTGTTATTGTTCAAATTTTCCAGCACATCATTTAGAGCAAGGCTGTTGCCAATCTATAAGTCCAAGTTTTTCCAGAAGTAACCAGGAAACCCAGGAATGTCTAGTTCACACTTCCAAGCTAGATCCACCCAAAGCACACACAGCTACCCCACTGCACATTTCCCTTGTGTGCTTCTAAACCCAGCCCCAGTCTCACAGGGCTCCTCACACACAGGGGGACTGTTTCTAGTACTGGTCACCAGTGCTGCACTGGTGCAAGAGCACAGGAGCAGAGAACATGCTGGGCAAACACTTGGCTGTTGAAGGCAGCCTGGACCAGAGCATCACCTGGAAGCAGGAATGCTACAGTGACTACTGCCCATAGCACTGCAAATGCATTCTCACCCTGCCCTCCCCCAGAGTCCAGCACCACCATGCCCCCAGATGTGAGGAAAAGAATGATAACACAGCTCAGGGTTGGGAAGCTATCAATGAAAAGAGGGGTTAAGGACTGCAGCTCCAAGCAGGACAACTGAACAACTATCTCACTGTTAAAGTCCTTGTCCAAACAAGAGTCCTGGTGCCTGGAACCCACACCTGTCAATTCCACTCCCACCCCCTTCCAAGGAGCCCTATCAGACAGTTGCAGAGGAAAGCTTTTGACTGGCTGCAGTTTACATGACCAGGCTTTATCCCAGCAGAGCACATACCTGGGATCCCAGCAGTGTCTTAGTATAATAATCACGGGGCATGAAAACTTCCACTATTGTTACTAGACACCAAAAAGCATCTTCCTGTTCCAAGTACAGAAGTGCAATTGCTACCAACCTAAAAACAGGGTTTATGTGGAGAAGATTATTACAGTATCACAAATAAATATCATGAAACATTAGAGTAAAATATTTGTTTCTGTTCAGCAGAGATAAATGTATTAACAGCAGAGCACTGAACAGCAAAACTTAAAGAAGTTTAAGATGGGGCAAAGCCATGCCTTCTCAGCCACACCAAGTATTTTTATTCAGAAGGCAGAAAAAGGCAAAAACTTGCTCTAAAAATTTCTTGAAGTGTTGGTGTTTCAAATTTTAAGAGCTCTCAAACACAGAGTCTACTATAGAAAGGAGATGTTTATTCTAAGGGTGTTAGGTGGAAGTTCCCACATTACTACTACTGCTACTACCACCACCTCACCACATCTACTACATTACTCACTGCTTCTGTTCTACTACTTCTTCAGTGCTATTTCAAATGGCAAACCTGGTCTAAGTTCAAAAGCCTATTCTGGTACATAAAATAGTGCACAAATGGACATCTATTGCATGGGGATGAGACAGGGTGTTAGACCAACACACCTGCTCCAAGTAGCACCTTCTTTTACTACAGATCTCCAAGTAGCAAAGTTATTCTGGCAAAGGCCAACTGCAATGAATCAGAATTCACAAGAATAACACAAGAATCCCCTTCAAATTCAGTAATTCTGATTGAAGACATCAGTGAAAAATGCTGAAAGTTGTTGCCTTAACAGTACAAAAAAAAACTTCAAGCATTTCTTTTCTGCTTGTTTTAAAAGAAGAAAATTTATTATCCAGGTCAACCGCTTTTTTCATTGGTTTAAAAAACGCAATCGTTATTTGTTTATTATAAATTACGAGCATACAACCCATAAGACAAACTGCTGTTCGAAACTGTGTTGCTATACATGTGATTTGAAAGGCTCAGTTATTACCCAAGATTGGCAAAATCTTACCTGTTGAGCCCTTGGCAATATCCTATATCAGGATTTCTCCAGGAAAATGCCAGCAGCACATTTCGCAGCTTCTGGATCCCTTCAGACGTTGGGGAGGAGTAATGTTTGTTGTTTGGCAAAGTCCTCAAGAGATCCAACTCAATCTGTTTAGATGCAGGATTTGGTTTTTCCAGAGCTTTTTGAAGCAAGGTTTGGAAGTAGCCAGGAATGGCACTGTCCTTGAACTTTTTAACATGGAGATTGACACACCATTTCCACATCTTGGAACGGTGTTCATGCGGAATTCCAGACCGAATAAGGTTCTTCAGTTCCACACAGCATATCATCTCTCTATTCATTGTGCTTGCAAAATAGTTTTCCCATTTCACTCCTGTGGAGATTTCTCGATTTTCACTGAGTGAAAGTGATCTCAAGTCCAAAGCTCGTGATTTTGCTACTAGTTTCTCCTCATCATCATCCTCAGGGACAGTCTGAAAACCATATATATCATATTCACTGAAATGGAGAGGAAGAGAAAAGGTTTTAAAAATACGTTCAGTAGCCCTGAAGCTCTCAAGTTCCCACCATAAAGTTACTTCAAAGCCACTCTCCACAGCTCTCAAGTTCTTCTTATTAAACATTTTTCTGAAGTATATTCTTCATTTAACAATTACTTGTACAATTCCATATACAAAAGACTTGGTGCCCATGTTCCTGTATATATTACTACACAAATTAAGCAATTCATTTAACAACATAATTGAGTTGAAATGCACCCATCTCCTCAGCAGCTCACCTTCAGCAGCTGTACAGCAATACCTTCATCTAAGTTTGATACTGTATCTCAATTAATGAATAAATGTGTCAGTGAAACTTCCCAGTGTGACCTTTCCCAAGACTCCTGGCAGCCACACTCTCAACTGACACTGTCACTGCTGGGGCCCAAGCCCCCCCAGTGGTCCCCACTTGACTCCTGCACACCCCACACTCACAGCCAGGCTAGGTTTCCTCACAGCTCTCCACCCCAGGCTTCCCTTGGCAGAGTCTCAGTCTCCCCAAAACAATTTATTCAAGGTGCACACACAGCCCAGGCTGGTTCCACGAAATGTCCTCAACAAAAGAACCCCATGAGTTTTAACCCCTCACAGTCCAGGCCTTCCAAGTCTTGCTCATCCCTCCTGAGTCCTTGCTGTGTCTCCCAGTGTCCCTCACCTGGCTGGTGCCACCAGGCCTTGTGCTTCTTGTTATGTAAAGAATTGGCAGTTCATGGCCCCTTATCTTCCAGATGAGACCACCCAGAGCTCAATCTGCATCTCAACCTGCACCAGATGTATTCCCCAACCCAATGTATTTATACAGCTAAAATTATTAAATTATAATGATAAATTTCATGACTGTTCCCTCATTAATGAAGGGAAATACAACAAATAACCCAAACCTGCAAATATATCCTCACTGTCTATTTTCCAGTGTTGTAATAGAGCCCACTGGCCAAGACACACATACATTTAATTTAATAGGACCAAACTACCTGACCAGGTGGGGTTTGAAAAATGCTTGTTCTGGTTGTTCACTAGATTCTACTTTCAAGGCATCTTCCAGTAACTGTGTGATGACCTCACGAGCAGGACTTTGATCCTCAGAACAAACAGGAGTTTTCATTTCTTGAAGCAAGATCAAGTATTTACTTTCAATCTGGCAGAGTTTGGCTTCTAAGCTGGTATACTGCAGAAAACAATGTATTATATAAATCTTCAGACACTTACTTTGTACTACATTTCTTTTAAAATCTGGCTCAACGCTATTTTATTGGTTTATGCTGCTTAAAAACATCTAAGTCAAGAACAGCCAGCTTAACTTTCCCATTTTTTTAACACCAGGAAACATAAAGCAGCATAGAAGACCAGATGTTTTCTACCACAAGTGTTTTTGCATGTGGAAAATCTGAGAAAACCTTATCACTGCATTGTATGAAATACCATAAAATAACAAAATGGTTGCATTGTAGCATGTCTGTGCATGTTTGAACAAGAACAACTTAAGTGGCATGTGAGTTAGGTAATAGCATGTAAGAATTGGAAACACACACCTCTGTGACAAAAATACAGCATTTAAGCCTGGCCACTGAGTCCATGGCTTCAAAAAAACACAAGCAAAGCCTACCAAACCACAGCTACAGGTATCTAACCTTAGTTACAGATGAGTACATTTCCCCTAACCCCAAGCACTGGAAATCTTTACTATTTACCTGCAACATCTCTACACTCAAATTCACCCAAACAGAAATTACATTCACCATACTATAGTCATCCTTTGTGCTCAGGAGAAGGCTCTACTCAGTGACCTATCAAACCCTTACACATCCTGTCAATGACTTTTAAAAAAAAATCATTATAGCCTAAATTTTGAGGAAACAAATGTTTTCAGATATGTACATACCTTTGTTCATAAGTTATGAAAATGTTCCACCAGGCCACACAATTTTAAAAGCAATTACTTCTTTCAAGAATCCATTCAAAAAGATTGGTCTATAAGGACTGAGAGGACATTTTTTTTAAGCTATCATATTTAATACATTTAAATTGTTCCATTTACTGGGTAGATTTACAGCTAAAGTATGGAAAACTGCTTTAGACATTGCCAAGTGAGAACATGCTGACCTTTGCCTGCCACTCTCTCTCTCTTGCTTCTGCATTTCTTCGTAGAGCAGAAAGTTCCAAAATCTCCTTATTTAAAAATTTGTTCTGGGTCTTATAACCCTGAAGATTGTCCTGTTGACAAAAAACAAACAAACAAAGTGGATTATGCCTGTCAGTCAAAGATCACCTTAGAGACAGAAACAGCAGCTCCTAATAGGACTTACAATTAAAAATATCAGGCTCAAATCAAATGTTATTTCTGGACTTCATGTAAAGGAAACACACATGCCAAATAGGAGCACAGGGTGGTGCTGTGCTTCACCTGCATCCCTCCCAGTATTCCACTGCCTGAGGAAGGCAGTTGGCTGCTGTCAGAAGAAAGGCAGAGAGAACAGGCATGTACAGGCTGAGCCCATTCCAGAGGCCACAGCAACACAAAAAAGGGAGAATGAATGCCCCTTGGGTTTTCATTACCCTCACCAGCCCTCATTACAAGTACAAGTCTCATGTCTGCCTCCATAGAGAGAGATAAATCCTTAGCAATGAACTTCACTGCCTAATCCACTCAGATCCTGGCTACAAACACTGCCTCTGAAAGATGAGCCTGGTAGGGCACCAGGTATCCTCCCAGCAGCCACAGGACTCTCACACTCCCCAGCATCTACAAGCTCTGTCTGCTTTCTGCCAAGACCACTGACTTCTAGTTTCAACTTTATTTTCTAAAATTTACCAGGCTTACATGTAAGAAAAAGTTATGTATGTTTACGCATATTTTAAGCAACTTATTTATATTCCAAATTCTTTGGAATGTTAATCAATTTGAAATACAATATTTACCCAAAGGCAAGAAAGCCTGTTTAGAGCAAAGTGGATCATTTCAGTAACTCCATTAAGAACTTGTGACACATTCAGAGAGGTATGTTAAAGAATAAAAATAAAGCATCAGTAGCAGCTGTAGCCGCTTTAGTAAAACAGATTCTTATACTCCTCCCTCTTGTTTTGTTTCCTCAGAGCTTCCCTTCATTTTTTCACATGCTCATATTTTCATATTGCCTCACTTTTGATATTTAAAATAATAAAAAACAAAGCAAGCTCTCTGTTTGTTTTCCTCCATGCTTATATCTTCCTCTTACCCTTAATCCTTCCTGCCCCTTTGATTATTTCTCACATCCCATCTGTTCCACACCAATGATTAATTTACTGAAACTATAGGACCCCATACTAGAGATGGCCCAAAGGAAGGAAGATCTGGTTGGATTGTCACATAACATCTCCAAATGGAGCTTCCAACCTGAGAAAGCCTCCAATGATGAGTGTACTGGGGACTGCTGTAGTGATCTCAAACAGTACAGCAGACTAAGAAGGATTTTTACAGCAAGAAGAGATTCCCCTATGCATCAAGACAAAGACAGTACTCTTACTTTTAATCTGTCCAGTTCCTGTAGTTCCTTATTAGTACTGGTGGCTGTGGGGGAGTTTATTGCTCCACTTTGAGAGGATGTGCTGTCCTCACACTCACTGAGTTGACGAGAGAGTTTCATGATGACTTCATCTTTAGCTTGAATAGTTTCCATCAACATTCCCAGCTGTTCATTGAGTTCTCCAACCTTACACTTCAGACTCTTGACTTCCTGCTGGAGACTATCTTTTTCCAGATTTAACTTTTCAAGCTGATTGTTGAGGCCCAAAATCTGGTCATCTTTTTGGTGCAACAGCTCTAATGTATCTTTGGGAACCCCCTCACAAAGGTGGCTTGCAAAGTATTTATCATATTGGGAAGATCGGACTGTTTGCTGCAGAAGTCGAACAAGTTCCTGAGAAATAAAAAAGAACAGCAAAAAAACCTGATAAAATTTTAAGTTTAAAGATTTTGTAGTTTAGAGATCTTGCATCAAGAAAAATAGTTTTTGGAAAGGGTTGAGACCTCATACCGGTGTTTAAAGAAAAGAAGGAAATGCTTTACAACATGATTCCTAGCAGGCTAACACCTTACAATGACTGGCCTATATAGACTGCTTCAGTGTCCTTCACTGAGCTAAGAATCCTGCCTGAAATGGCTACAACAGGTTAAGGAAAAGGAGGGGACAGCTGAGGCCCTGCAGTTACTTGGAAGCTGAAAAAAAGCCTGGCTTGCAAGCAGTCCTGTTGTAGGATGAATAGGAAGAGGCTTAAGCCCAAAAAGTCAACAGGAAAACGTTACAGAATGGAAAAAGCAAAGGTAACTAAGAGCTCTAACGGATGCAGAAAAAATAAAAGGAGGTAAAAAATAAACACTGCTTTGCCAAAAAGGAAGTCTTTGAAAGGCTGTTTAGAAAATCTTGCCACACAAATGACTACCTAAGACACCCTTTTTTTTTTTTTTTTCCTTATTATTAAAACAGAAGCAGCTGTGAATGGAGTGTTGCACTAGACCAATGAGATTTCTCACAGCAGCAGGCTCAGAAGCTCAAAGGTACTCCTAGGAAACATGTCTAAAATAAATATAAATATGGGGCTCAGACTTCTTTGGTTTCCCTTTAATCACCTCACACAAAGGAAAATACAAATAGCTGAAGCAGCTCCATGTAAGATCTAAAACATTTTTCTTCTTAAAATGAGTAGAAGTTATTTTAGATAAAACCAAGGTATTGAATAAATTGGAGTTATGAGGGCACATAAGCATGACCACCATGTGAGTGCAGTCTACATACACACATTATGGTTAGGCCTATCTTACAAAACCCCTCCCAAGGAGAGAAAGAAAGTCCATTTCCCACCCACTGCACTAGCACTGAAAGAATCAAAAGACAAAGAGAATCTGAAAGAAGAAGTTCCTCAAATATTTTATGTACATATAGAAAAAGAAGCTATGACTGTCAGCCAGGATCCTGGTAGACACCAAACAAGTTAACTTCAGAGAATAAAGAAGAAAGAGAATAAGATGGAAATTTTATTCAGGCTTATCTTCAACAGATGTAAAAGATGGTCCCTCTTGTTTAAAGACTTTTTGTACTCAAAGGTTTGGTTAGGACCATCATTTTATAACAACCAACCAAGTCTTAATGTAGTGAGATGGCCAGAAAGGTTAAACTCACAATCACTTCCAGACTCATTTGCTTTTGTGCACTTTGCCTGAAGGTTTAATTACCTTTTGGCTCAAAAGATCTTTCTTTAGCTTCTCCAACTCTTCCTGCTGGCTTTGATACTTCAGTTGCAGTTCAGAGACCAGTCTGTTCCCATTGCCAGAACACCAGTCTGTTAGGGAAGAGTCACTGCTGTTGCGGTTTTTGCTTGATGCAATCATATCTTTCAACGGGCGCCTTGCTTTGTGTGGAACACGGCCAAAATCAAATGGAAAAGCTGAACTAGTCAGTCCTGCATAAAACAATTTCTTCTAGTTCGGTTCACTTAGTAAAAAGGCATGTCAAAGCAATCATATTTCCTTTAAAAATATACTCATTAACATTAGACTTTGAGCAGTTTTCCAACCACTCAATACAATAGTGTTAAACATGCCTCATTTTCCAAGTGGCTTCCCTTGGTGGGGAAAACAAAAAGCTCCAAATCTTCTCCCCTCCCAGATAAAAGATTTGGTTCATAAATTATCACTTTTCACATAAGACATGAAAAGAATTTTACAATTCATTACAGAAAATAAAGGGTACCCCTAACTATGGCGAAGTAAATTTCACTTCAAATAATCAGAGCAAAACCATCTCTGATAGCACAGCCTACTGCTCCTGTAAGTGGATTCAATGTAAGGCTTCACCTCCATGAACAGGATGTTTTCTAACAGATTAAATCACTTGGATGTCACCTAAAGTGATCTTAAAGAGATGTAAAAACATCTTGACAAGTTTATCCCAGACACCGGTCAAATCTGAGAACCAGTTCAAATACACAGATGAGCTATTGCTTCATGTCCATCCCTGCTTCTACCCCATTTCAGAAGCAAGCCAATGTAACAGGTACACAGAGTCTAAAGACACAGAGCCTAAAGACAATCCTGCTCCAGTGGGAGACACTCAAGTGAGTAATTACAAACATCAGCATTTCCCTTTGCCTTTTTACTTTGCAACTGATGTGACAAACCAAACCAGTAGCACGCTCAGGAAATCCAAAACAGTGGATAACAAGGCTTTGTCTTTTTTCTCTTGTATTTGAATGGCAGGGGACCCTAAACACATTGTAAGGAATTGATTTTTTAAAAAATAGTTTACAGAGCTGTGGATGTGGTTTGTGAAGAAAAAGATAAGCTCCCGCTTATTTCCCAGAGACAGACATAACACAGTACTCTATGCTAAACAACGGAAGGCATATGATTCCCTTCCTTCCTCCACTTCTACCTTTATTTCCTTCTGCCAGATGTTTCCTCTTTTCTTCCAGAGCCATTGAGTCCTCCAGGTCTTTTGGGGTTGGATCCAGCAGTTCCCACTCCTCAGTGGTATAAAATACACTCTTGCGATTTTCATTACTTCCTTTTCTTAAGGAGGACATGGAATTTCTATGAAAAAGGCAGCAGGAAAAATTTCTCCATTTTGCATTCTTTTCATAAGAGCTTAAGGGCTTTTCACAGTTCAAACAGTGCAAACTAAAAATAAGCTAAAAACAGAGACAAAACCAATACCAAATAAAAGCTCAAAGAAAATAAGGCTTATGCTACCAAGTAGCACTTGCAATCAACAGTGCTAAATATCAAGAACAAAAGAATTATTTTGCTTTAATGCCACGGTCTTTTGCATCCCTGTTTTAGCCTTGTTTTTGCAGCAGGCAACTACAAAACAAAGTTAGGATTTACAAGCAGCATCTCTTTATTGATCAGTTGTAGTTTAGAATTTTAGGGTAACTGCCAAGCATTAAACTGAACACATGCAGTCAAAACACATGTATGTTATAGTTCCTTATTGGGGATTAATGGAAAACTTGGGATCATCCAAGAGACCTGCTGCAGCTGAAATGCTGATGACAAGACTCCTTTGCAGTTTTTCTTTTCTACCATGGAACACGGCCAACTATCTGCAAGAACATTTCAGGGGCATCCCCTTAACTCCAGCCAGATAATTCTGAAGGAGCACAACACATTTCCCAGCAGGATGAGATTACCTCACCCAGCTCCTCCACAACCATCACACACTCAGGAATGAATGTCCACTCTTACATCCATGAGTATTAACATAGCTCAGTATTGCAAAGCCTTTGTTCAACTGCACAAGGACATTCCAAATCAACCCATATGAATCACTTTAATCTTTTAGGTGTAAAACTGGAAATATATTTAGTATCTCAGCATTCTCCACACGGTTTATGCAAGCTTACAAAGATGTTTTCACACAATCATCCACATCCTCTCTTCAAAACTTAAGCAGAAAATAATCCATATTACACTTTCAAGATCATTTGAAAATCCAAGCTTGATGTGGTGCTGGAGTCCTGGTTAGCTCTCACCACGGCACCATGCCAAAAGTAGGGAGCAGCTCCTGACCTGAGGGTTAAGAGCTGACCCTCAGAGCTGCTGCTCTACAGCACTTTTGGTGTCAGCACAAGGAGGAGGTGAAGGATGAGAGGGAGGCTCTTGGCATGGATTCTATGGACCAATTTACCCCATAAAGGGTTCAGGGACCAAAGAGTGCTGAACAGGGGTGTACCAGGGCTTTTATAAGGGGGAGTTAAAGGGGGTGGATACAAAAGTCCAACCAATAGAAAACCTGGGAGGGAGGAGTGAAGGGAGGAGATTACAAGTAAGGGACCAATGGGGAAAAGGGGGAAGGTCACATGGGCCAAAGGGGGTATCCACAGCATCAGGGGATTTCCAGAGGGGAGGTACCGCAAGGGGTTGGGCTAACAAGGGATTGACAAGGAAGGATCCAGAACAAGGGGCAGGGTTTACAATGATGGCTAGGGAAGGCACTGGAATGCAGGGTGGAGATAACAATGATTGAGAGGTAAAGGGGAGGAACATAACTTGGGAATAATCCAATTTGGGGAAATGGAAAATATGAGGGGGGGAATCAGAACAGACCATTTATATAACATAATAACAAAACACACCACAACACAAGCCAGTCTTTCAGCTTCACAAGAGATTTAACATCTTATCAACATGAACTCTAAGCCAATCATTCAGCAGTGCACAACTTTTATAATCTGCTGAACTGATAAACATTTACAATTTAAAAATAATCCTAATGGTTATTAATAAAGCTATTTCACCAATCAATTTACAAGCTTGGCAAATACTCATTTATGCTACAGATTTAATTCTCTTCCAGAAAGAATCACAATTCCTGTTGGGGGCAAGAAGCCTAATTTCTTTGTTCAGATGTTCCACACAAATTAAGGAGATCAAATTGGGCAATGATGGATGTATTTCCTGAGGATGGATTGAGCACCCAATATCAGTGAGTGTCTCGGGAAATGTCCCCTGGCATCCCTGCATCTCTTCTCCAAATGGTGGCTGATCTCTTACCAGGCAACTCCAAACTGCCTGTTCTGCACTCACTCAGCCTCAACAGTTAAAATCCTGAACAGCACCTTCTAATGCTTGAAAAAACCATGAAGAACAAGTCAAGTGACTTCCAGAAAACCTTTAAAGAACTGCTGTTAGGCCCATGAAAAATCATAGCTGATTCTGAGTTTTGTAACTCAGGTTTGTTCAGGGCACTTACGTAGAACTCTTTCATTGCTTTCTATTAAATTAAAATAAGATGAAAGATTAAATAGATAAATTTGAAAACAGTATTTATTTTCCTAAGTACAATCGGACAACCTACACAAGCCAATAATATGATTTAATGAGTCTCTATTTCTAAAAGTTTGGGGTTTAAGTCTTATTTTATGGTTACATAAAATGGAGGTTACTGTAATTCAGTATGTTTCCAGATCTATACTCTGTATAAATAAGTAGCTGAGAGCATGAAAGTGAAAAAAAAAAAAAAAAAATCAAGCCTAAATGTGTGTATATATCAAATAGTATTTGAAAGTGCAAATACAGCTATTATAGCAATACCTTTTCTGTCAGGCACAGTGTAAATGTGTTCAGGAGACTGGACAAGGCTTTGAGACATCTACATACCTTAATACAAATAAATAAATATAAAACAAAAATGTGCTTGCAGCAAGAAAGGAAACTCTGCAGTTTTAGACACAGTTTGATCCTTCCTCTAACACTGGAGCTGTAATCACACTCCAGTTAAGACACTGGATAGGGCACACATATTCCAAAGGCTGTCAGATCATCCCCCTGTCCCAAATGGCACAGAACTGCTGGAGAAGGGAGGGAAACAACCATAACACTAGGGGAACAAAAACCACAACCAGAAAAAGAGTCAAAACCAACATCTGGTAACCTCTCAGATCTCTGTGCTAAACCAGAAAGCTTTAAAAGGGATCTGTTTAACTTGGCACTGCTGATGAAAATGAACATTTTCCTCCCAGCTCACAAAGGATGTGGTCTGGTTAACCAAAGCTGCAGCTCTGCTTTGTAAGCTGCTCTGTACTAGTATTGTAACATGCTTTAAGCAGAAGTGGAAAATCCATCTATGTCGGCAAAGCAAAAAACTCTTTAGAAAGAAATGCAACAGGAGAGCTGAAAACCAATGGGACTGATTTCCTTAAAGCAATTAATACTAAAAAGTAAAGTGAGGGGTTTTGATGATGTTCACAAGGGATCTGCCACATTTTTGCTCTGAAATTCAAGCTGCATCCACTTCAAATCTGTGCCCTGTGCTTTCAATTCTTTTAAGAAGAAAACAAAATGTAAGGATTTATATTGGTTTGATTTTCATCACTGAAAGTAGTTCCTATGCACTGAGTACTGTGACTGCTATAATGCTGGGAATTGGCAGCTTCATGAAAAAGCAGCAGTGGCTGAGAATACAACTCAGCCTCAACAACTCAACAACTGCTGGGGTTCAGAGAGCAAAGCCATCACTGGAAGTGCTGTATAAGACTTGAGTCTCCCTTTCAGGTATCAGTGATGCTATGCAATAACGTTCCCTTAGACCTTCAAACAGTAAACAGAGTAAAGAAACAGTTTACTTGAAGAGATACAATACAACTAATAAATCCACCCCATCACCTCCCATCATTCTAAGAAGATCCATGGACTACATACTGATGATGTAGGAAATAGCCTTGGCCAGGAAACTGCCAATTGTGCATGGTAACTCTCCCAGGTTCACAACTTACTTGATCTCAGTACTCCATTGTTTAAGTGAGAAATTGATGGCACTTGCTTGGACTGGTGCAGGCTGGGAAGCTGCTTGCTCCCCCACCAGATCCGTAGGAGAAGTCTCCACAGCTAGAATATTTCTGGCTCTCTCTGCTGAAGCATTTTGACTTAGGATACTCAAATCTATATTAAAAGAAGAAAAAAAATTAAAAAAAAAGAAAAAAAGAAGAAAAGGTAGAAAGAAAAAAAGTAAGCATAACCTTCAATAAGTAAAAGAATACTGGCTATTATATAGCTCTATATACAGTCATATACTAAGTCTGCTAGTGACATTGTTCAGGTTTTACTTTAAATTGCAACGTAACTTTATAAAACATTCAGTTCAAATGAACCTTAAAAATAGCAAATTTCTCAGTGAGGTCTTACTACAGCCACATACTTTTGATAACAGACAGGACCTATGTGATGCTCACAAAGCATTATTTTGTGAGTAATTTGCAAAATAGCCCATCAGAACTAGGTCCAGAAGAGTGTCACAAAAATGCTGACCCAGCTTTCAGGGTGTGCTTCATCCTGTAAGTTACCCATCCTAAAAGTGATACTGATGCTGAAGTCAGTGAGCTTTACAAACCTGAGGCAGTCCAATGCCAGTCCAGGCTGGGCACTGCCAGATCCAAGAATGCTGGCGCAGCTCTGCAGGACACTGGACATGTCCTGCACCAGTGAGGATTCCTGAATGCAGCTCCTCCTCAACCCATCCCAGCCAACTCTCCCGTGCACTGGAGCAAGTGGGGGGCCCATGGCCAGGCCATGCAGAGCTGCAGCACAGCCCTGCACAGCCCAGCAAACCCCATGGGTTCCCAAAGGCTCCAGGAACCAGTCCAGCCCTGAGTCACAGCTCACAATGGCCAGAGGAGCCAAGCTGACCCAGCCAGCCAGCCAGGGCTCCAATACACCACCCTGGCAAGCACAGACTGCACAACCTGCAATAGCTGTGCTACCTCAGTGTTTCCATTAGTCTGGAGAGCTGCTTTCTCCTTCCAGCAGGCAGAGGGAGTAAAAAATCCAGAATACAGTATGAATAGCAAAACTTTAGTTTTACAGTATGAATAGCAAAAATTACAGAGAAGCATAGAGCAGTTTACAGCCTTCTACAAACCCTCTGAAAAGGCAAGTTAAACAAATCCAAATGCAATTTTCAGATTCTTCTTGATATAATTAAGAAAGTACTGGAGTGGATTCAAGATTTTTTGACAACACTCTCAGACTTGATTCAACATTTATATTAGAAAGTAACATATTGGATGGGCTCTGACTTAAATAAAACCCTAGGAAATTATGATGCCCTCTTTTATCACTGATGAGTCTTTCAGCCTTTGCTCTGTCATTTGCTTGGCACCAGCAGCAGGACCATCTTTAAGCAAACTGTACCCTCAAATTACTCAGCAGAAGGTTACTTTTATCAAGTATCAAAGATTAGAAGTAGAAAGAACATTCTGTGATAAAGAATATGAAGTATTAAAGAGCACTGATACTAGGAATCTCTCAAACCCTTGAAAATTGTATCTGACACAGAAATGTATCATGTCACGTTTCAAACAGAGGTACAAGTTACACTGCCTTGATTTTTATGAACAGATGCTTCAGGGTCTTATCAGCCAAAGGGAATTCCAAGTTCTTTTGCACTGTGGCTGTCTGAACTGAACACAGTTCAGCTAAAATGGCTTAGATAAAACTAAACCTGGGATTATATTTACTGTCTAATGAAGATGAAGATAGTAAGTAGGTTTTAACTACAAAATAATAATTAAAAACAAAACCAAACCAACCCCCCCCCCCAAAAAAAAACCAACCAAAAACCCAAACATCCCAAAAGGAAAAAAAACCCAACCCACAACACATAGACCAAAAACTTATGGATACTCAAAGCCAGGATGGAATACTAACATTCTGCCTTTACCCTTACAGCTTGTTGCATCTTCTACCTGTCTGATTCTGCAGTGTCCTTTTAGAGGATGGCCCAGGTAAAGGAATTGCTCAAGAGCTGAATTCCCAACAAATGCATTTCCCCTCACAGACATGTCAATTGTCTGAATGTGGCACCCTGCAGTTGCTCACTGGACATCTTCCCCTGCCCACACCAGCCAGGAACTTGGTTAGAGGCATGGACTGCACAGCACAACAAATGAATGTGGATGCTCATGCAGTGTCCAAGTAAAAAAAAAAAAATCAAAAAAATCCGGTTTTGGAACTTATTTCAAAACACAACAGTCTTATAAATGCATGGCACTGCATGTTTTATTAATGCAAATTAAGAACCAAAATTATAGAAACTACATTAACATTCAATATATTTCAAGAAAAAATAATAATCCCACATCCTATAAAGAATAAATAATTTATTTGACTTTCATGGTAGTAAGGCACCTCCACAACAAATCCTACAGTGTAGTTTTTGTTAATATTAACTTTCTCATGTCCCACTATGAAAAATACTTTGAAGTATTTTTCACTACACTGAATATTCTTAAAAACCTTTCAAAGCTGATCCACAAAGCAGTATCTAGCTCCAGGTATGCCCCAGGTAGTCCAGATTTCAGAACTGGGAGGGCAGAGGATAGGGGAGGACAGACAGGGAAGGCTGCAGTAAGCAGTTCTAGGTTTGGACAGAAGACAGACTACTTCCTCATTTAAAACATTAGTGATAGCATCTGTACTCAGCACTAGCAAAATAAATCAATTTCTATGCTGTGGTATAAAGCACATCACTGCATGCATATTCACTTCTTCAAAAAAAAGAAAACAAGCCACAAGACATATCTTAGTCATCAACATGAAACCAGAGCCTTACAGACTCCTGTAACTCTAGAAGAAACTCTTGAAGTACTTGATTTAAAAGAAGGAACAAGCATCAATCATTCTGGCTATTTGCATTTTCCCCAAAAGGAATCCCTACTTAAATACTTCAGTTGGCAATAGGAGTCATCACTGTGATTTGTCCTAGAAAATGAGATACTGCAGATGCAAATTCTCCAAATTCTACATAATGCAGTTTAACTGCAGGCTGCCCCTGAAAGGGATGGGCCTATTCAGCCCATGCATGTTATATTGACATTCCTTGTCCTGGATATAACAACAATAGTAATTTAAATTAAAAAATAAAAACAAAAAATTAATCCCATGAAGAGGTTCAGCTGGTTCATCCAGAAAGTCTCCAAAGACTTACAGAAAAATACCAGAGCAGTGATGAAACGACTGGATGTCATGCAAAACAGGCATAAGGGAACAGCACCTGCACACACTGCAGTGACAGAGGTTCATTTGACATTTTACCCAAGTTCTGAGGGAAACAGCACAAACAAGAACAGATTCTTGTGGTCAAGTTATATATTAGAGTCGATGTGATCAAACACTGCTGCCAAGAGGGCAAGCCTGTCTGCTGCTTTACTCTGCCTTCCTGTATTTAGTCGCTGTGCCTTGTTCCCTCCTGTCCACCAGCTGTGCAATCACCTGATTGCACACTGAACACATTCCACTCATCAATCTAGCAGAAATTAAAAACTCCTCGTTTCTAGCTAACATTTGAACTCAATCTACTCAGCACAGGGTCAGTCAAACACAACAAAAAAAGGGAGCCTGTGCAGCGGAGAACAAAAAGCTGAAGGCAGAAAGACAAAGGACTGAAAGAGCCAAAGCCTGTTCCCTTTTGCAACACTTAGATTTTTTCCCACCAATACTTGTGCTCTGGAGCACATGGTTTGACAAGCAGCTGACAAAAGGGTTGCAAACTATCCCACTTGGCATTCCCAGCAATTCTCTTGGGCTAATTCTGCCGCTCACCTGTCCCTACAGTAAACCACTTCTGTAAACTACACTGGCCAAAAAACTGATCTGGAGAAGAGGCTGATTGCTGCTGCCTGCAGACCCTACACATGTTGAGTCCAGTTGTGTTGAGCAAGTAGCCACAAGCAGTACATTCTCTCAAAGGAGAGCAGCAAACTGGGTTAGGGGACAACACTGCAAGAGGACCTGAACCTCAGGAGCAGACAAAGTGTGACAAGAACTGCTCAACACCACTGGGTTTACAGTGGGAACAAAGCAGAATCAACCAAATGTCATCTGCTGATGACACATGTCTGACCTCAAGACTATGCTTAAACCCAGGAGAGCCAAACTAATGCCTAACTTGGCACAGAACTGGATTTTACTCGGTCTTACTCGTGGAGAAAAGAAAACAGCAAGGAATCCATTTCTGTAGGGACTGAGGAATAAAACAATTTGTAAGTGCCTGTGCAATGTAACAAAAAATGCAGAATAACTCTGTTTAATGCACAGACGTTTTTATAACTCTGACACTAGTGTAGAGTTTTGTTTTCCTTGCCTAAAGGCATTTCAGAGAGTGAATTTCAGTTTCATATCAGTGCAGACTGTCTTCCAGTTTTGAATGGCAGGGCATTTTTATCACAGTCAGATAGATCCACGACACCTTACTTTTTCAGGAACAAAGTATGGTTGTTCAGAATGCAAAATATACCTGTTCCCATTAAAAACTGGAGTTTACATCTCAAGATAATTACCATACTAACTTTTTAAGATATTGCAGCCACTAAAAGACAACTTACCTAATCTAAGCTTAATGAAACCTAGTCATAAGACTACTCAATTTTACTTCATTTCTAAAAATCTGTTTTTCATGAAATCAACAGATTTTGTAGAGGATATGAAATCACATTTAAAATTACATTTATGTTAAATAATCGTAGAATATGCAAAGTTTACATAGGGTTACTTGCAAAACAGATGTAAAAAGCTCTCTTAACACTAAGTAAAGTTCTCTAACCTAGTGAAACACCTTGTATTCATTAACTGACACTGAAAAGAACCATGCCTTTTGTTCTCATTCAAGTCTCCAACGTACCAGGGTTGTCTTTGGCAACAAGACCTTTGGAAAAGTCACTGGGTGTGGGGGAAGTCCGGCTGTCCCGTTTTGCCGCATCCAGGTTGTTGCAGTATTCCCACCTCTTCTGCTGCAGCTCCTGAAGCCAGTAGGTCATGTCCTGCCGAGTCGCAGCCTGCAGGACATGGAAGCAGAGCACTGGTGAGATCTCTACATGAACACAGTAATTCCAAGTGCAATAATAAACCCAACACAGATAATCAGCAGATCACCAAGGTATCATCACTCTAAAATCAGTCTGATTTAAAAGAAATAACCGTAATGCACCAGGTACACCTCCTGCTCACATGCACATCCATGATTCTCATGCCAGAATTTTTCATTACAAGTAGTCTTACGCATTCCTTTTCTTCAGGTTTACACTCAAATTTTAGACAATGCAGCAGCATCTTAAATTTTACATACAAAGCACTGTTTGACTATATAACTACAAATCTATATTATGGGAAAAAATTCCATACATACTCAGGAAGATTTCCATTTTCTTTTAACTTGCTTTCTTACCAGCAGAAACCAACAAATGAATAATGCATTGCAATGCCTCATACTTGAATAACTACATCTACATACTGTATGCCCTGAAGATCCCATGAGCCAACTAGCTTCTATAGAAAAATCATATTTAAAACAACAAAAAAAAAACCAAAATCCAACATTAATGCCTAACCTACAAGACTACAGTCAAAAATATGAATGGGCAGTGAGGAAGAATTTAAACACAACTTGAATCAGAGCTGTAAGTCATTTCAAAGCATGTCAAATAAAAATGTACAAATACAAGAAAAGACAAGTAAAGCTATATGACACTGCAGGTGCTCTCATGGAAGACTTATTGTTATTTCAACATACATCCTCAGCTGCCAGTCTAGGACAAACACCTGACCTGGTAATGTGGACTGTTCAGGAACAAAAAAAATAACACTGATGAGAAGACACTCCCCTAACTACTTTGGCTTGTTAGTACATGGAGTACTTACCTTTTGGCCAGCCTTTCTCCTACCTTCTCCCAAAGTGCATGATAACATTTTCATGGAAAAGATGACTATGTTTGTTCTTTAAAGACAACCTAACTTCAAACATTTTTCTGTTCTGTTCCTCACAACTTGAGAGGGCACCTGTGCAAGGCACAGCTGCGAAAGAATGGAAAGCAAAACCAACATGCATTTCCTTACAAAAACATACAGTAAGTGCTGCATAAAGCTCAACAATGGCACAGAATTGTCTTCATTTCTCACATGAGAACACTTCTGGTCTAGTAAAATTGAAGATTCACTGGCCATTATATTTTAGTCCCAACAACAGCTAATGACAAGAAAAAGCACAAAGAGCACAGCAAATAAAAACTGATGCTTCCCCAGGGTGCTCTCTCTGGTTCAGCAATTTGCAATCTCAGTTTAGCAATGAGACCATTTTTTATTTTACCTTTTGGTTATTTGTACCCCTATAAGCTTTCACATCCATGACACCCCACAGCAAATAGCTCCAAGGCACCATTCAGCACCAACAAGATTAAGCAGAAAACCTCAGTTATTCCTGGAGCTGCTGCTCAAGCTCCTTTCAGTACATTATGCACATGGTCGGTACAAGATATATAAAACAAATAAGCATTCATAAATCAAACAGTGAAACAAACAAGTGATACATGAGAACACTGCAGAGTCAGTTTGTAAGAAAGAGATGTAATCAAGATACTTCTAATCTGAAACGGAAATCAGCTTCATATATTCTTTCTTGCTTACTCACAGGAAACCAGAGAAAACCATTTCCCTCATAAAAAAATACATGGAGTAAAGAATAGTTTAGAACTCTGGGAAATGTCAACCCCCACAGCTTGGGAATGACCACCAGAGGAGTAGGTTTTTTAAGTCTAGAAACTACAGCCACGTCTTCCCAGGAGTAAACGTCCCCCCTTCTATTCCTAGCACTGAAGTACTCCTTTAGAACTTTAGCCAGTGGCAAGTCTTCACTTCTGGTATATTTGAGAGCTTATACTTCCTTCAGAGAAACTTGCACACAGGCCATGTAAAGCAGTGTTTTACTGTGCTTCAGCAGAAAACCACCAAGAATTCAAAAGGCTTCCACCAACAGAGGATACAGTACTTACATGGTTCTCTTTGCTACCACAACACAGCTAATGAGGCAATCCACCAGCAGTCAATCTAAGTTATACCTACAATTAACTTCTTCCCATGACTTCTTGAACTTAATGAACCTCTCTCACAATTTGTCCTGTTACCATCTCACCAACCACCTTCAGAGAGCAGTGAATCGATTTTATTGGAGTTGCTCCTTGCTGCTTTTCAACTCCCAGCTGCAGTTGTTCTCTGCTAAGCTGCACAGCCTCAGCTCCCAGGCAACATTGTTGTTACACACAGGGCCAGGCAGTGCCCATCCTCCAGCAGAAAGTGGCAAGACAAAGCAGTACAAGGTTCTCATGCCCCTGCTTTAAGTAATCTAACCAAGAATTACTGAGTGTCCATCCTCCTGCTGCTCCCTGCCTTCCTTCCCTCCCATACACAGTCCTCCTCTTCTGGAGTCTTCCTCTACCTTTGAATAGTTTTGGCTGTGTTTATTAGAGGCATCTCTAATAGTTACTTATAACTCTAATTAGTTACTTATAACTAAAAGAATACCCCAAAAATCTCAGTTAAAATTAGTGTTGTTTAAGCAAAATTAAACATTGAAGCTGTTGTTTGAAATAGGCTGTTTAAAAAAAACAAAACAAAATAAAACAAAACCAAGAACCACATACAGAATATTTAAGTCTTCCCCTAATCATAAAGAGCACAAATTTGGAAACGTATTTTTTAATTCACTTTATCTGTCAAAGAAAGGAGCACTTCCATGCTTGCCCCATTTCTCGTGCCTTCTCCAAGTATTTGGCTACTGCCCACCATGAGAGTCAAAACATTTAATTAGGCAAAGCAGCAATCAATCCCACAAAAATTTCTTATAGCTACTGAAGTATTGCTAAGGTGCTTTCTTACTGCAGAGCCACGTAGTCACATTTTAATGGATGCATTTCTGTGAGAAGAAAAACTACCATGAATGTCACCCAAACTGATGAGAAATAAGGAATTACTCCAAGTGTACTGCTGCAGACTCACAGGCAACAGTAGGAGCAAAAGATGCTCTTAAGTGAAGAGTCATACAGTACCATATAGTTTCAACTTAAACAATGGAAAATTACTGTAATTTAATTTAAAATATTCCCCTATATTCTCCCACTAAAAATGGTGTAGAACTGTCACACCTTCTGATGCAGACAGGACACAAACAGAAGAATTATTTGAGGAAAACATCCATCCACTGCCATCCTCTATCTGGACTCACTGGTGGAACATGTTATACCAACATTAAACATTCAATGTCTGAAAAAATGGAACAAGTAGACCTCGCATTTTGAGAAATCTCATGAAAAGCCTTGCTACATTCCTGAACACAAACTCTCCCTCAAGCTACTTTGTAAAAAGGGAACATCACCAGAAAGTTTGCATTTCTTAAGATTTACTATTCCTGCTATGCTCAAACAGCAAATTTGGAGCCAGACGGCTTCTTCTGGAGGGCAGCCCAACTTTTAATTAAAGCACTGCAACCACTAACCAACAAAGTTTACAGCAAAAAGCATCAGCTCAGACAACAAACCACCCTGAGTGCTGAGCTCCCTCCTATGCTGTGTCAGGCCTTGTGGCAAAATGTTCAAGCTCAACATCACTGATCGCTGCTGCATCCTTTGAGATCACTGACAAATTACAGCAACTGCTCTTAAGCCACTCTCAGTTCAGCAAGTTTGGTGTCCAGTACTTTCAAGCATCAGGGCCTTGAAATCTGCAGTGTCTGGAATGCTTATACGTGGCCAACAGCCCAGAAAATTTATTTACTTTCACAACTCTGTGCAATTTCTGTTCCCTTCCCAATTCACCACTGTTCACAGAGAAGTTACCCACACAAGTGACCAGACACACAGTCCAGAATCACTGGCCAGAGCTCCTTTCTTTCTGAAGCAAGCAAAATGTATCACTACAAGACACTGCTTTAAAAATAAATGAGAAATGCTGCCTTTGTTCATTTATATATATTCATAATGTTAATTATTTCCCCCCTTAATGCAAGGCCTTGCTGTGCAAACATGGCCAAATGTTCATTTGACTGTATTAGCAGCATTCTGTGTTATAGCATGTATTTGCAGGAATAGTATTTGCATACCTTTCCTTGAAAATATTCTCAAACATAATTTATCCATAATTCAAGAAGTATACAATTTTCTGTGCTCTTTTACCTAAAGGGATGATATCTGCTATATATATTTAAATGGAAAAGATTTTAACACATTTGGCTTCTTCTGCTCTATTGTACTTATTGGAAATGTACAGAAAAAACACAATCACACAAGTGGCAGGTTGGTTATGCACAGTTCTAAAATATGAACATTTTGCTTTATTTGTTGTAAAGGCAAATAAATTGACTGTATAATATATTTTTTTTCCAAAATTTTTATCTGGGAAACAAAGCTAGGGTACATCACAGAGTTCTCAACTCCTATTACCTGACAAAGGCTGAGCAATCCACATGATGGAATCATTACACTAACAAGAAACTGAGGCATTATAAGAAATAATGCATTCCTCAACAGCATCATCATTTCAATCTGGAATTCCAGCAGCTTATTTTTTATTGCTCTTCTCAGTCTATTACACTGAATGGGAAAGGCCAGATCACAAGATGTGGAAATTTTGAACAAACAGCAAATTGAGGAAAAGAAAGCATGTGAGTAACAGGCAGAAGAATACATGGACTTGATTTTATTCCTTGTGCTCTGTGTGTAATGTTCTCCTGATAGACTAAATCACATTTGTTTTTAACACAGGCTGGATTAGAGGGGGAGGGAGAGGGGTTGGGTTGTTCGGGTTTTTTTCGTTTACCATCTTGAATTAATTTGCAATCCTACATATACCTAAGTTAGCTGAAGGATGATTTTAAAGGCCTTAGAGAGTTACCATGTTGGACAGAAGAAAATTAATTTCAGCTGCAAAAACCTTATTCCTTAGTGAATGACATGGCCACAAAATGCCAGTTGGTCCTGCAATATCCCCTATAATTTTCATTAACTCCTTCCTTACTATAAAATACATCTACAACATAACAGCATTTTTATGGACAATCACTTGGCTGCTTTAGGGCATCACAACACAAAATGATCTTTTTCTGCTAATTGCAGAAATTAATTTGACTTAACTGCCACCGTTTCTCAATCCCCAAAAGGAAAACAAGAAGAAAGTTCCAATCTATGCAGGTTCTTTCCTAGAGACTACCAGAAAAAAATTAACACAAAATATGGGCAGAGTAGTAACATCACAGACCAAAAGATACCAATGAAAGTATGAAAAAGAAACCCCCCATGTCTTACATTTGTTTATCAGTGTTGAGTATGATTTGTGTCTTTGTGATTGCAGAAGACACCCAAGGCTGCTGCCAAAGTTCTGTCTGACAGACTATTTATCAGACAAGTGGCAGATAGCATTTCACACTGTAACCCTCACAAATCCTGTGTTTCTCAATAAAAGCCCTCCTATACAAAAAGCACCCTCAACACAAAATTCTTCTGAAGGTTTCCTTGTAAAATCACAAACACCCTCAAACTACTGAAAAGCAAGGCTCAAACCAAGTCTGCAGTTTTAATGTCCATAACACAAACACTTGGCTATAAAGGCAGATTCATTGAAAGCAGTAAAATCTTTTACAGCTATACAGAAGCAGTTTTTATATGTGATTGTATGCAACTGATTACACTGCTTTTATCTAAACAAATATCATTAAAATTATTATTGTATTAGTTTTCTAGGTAAATAAATTTCTTATTCTCCAGTAAAGCATGTTAACTGTGTTTTGACACTCATCAAAACAGAATGCTGAAGAGCTTGATACAATCATACTCCACAGTCCCAGCAGGTATTATGACTGCTTAAATCTCCACTGCTAAGTGTGTAAAAGGTATTTTCCAGTATTCAATAGGAAATCTACTGTTTAACACTTAATGGATCATGTTCTAAGACTAAGAATGTTGCTCAGAAAGTACACAGTTCAGTGAAAAGTTGCATTCTGTGCAGAAGAACGTTCCTTGAAGGACACAAATCTGCCTTAACAGAATTCAAAAGTAATGGATACTCAGAATAATTTATTTCTTCTTTACTGAGTCAAAATGGTTTCCCTGTTTGTTTGGGTTTGTTTTTTTTTTCCCTAGCCATGACAGTAGAGGAAAGATATGTTAAATAGTCAAAACATTTACCTCTCGTCCTACGAAAATCTGAGTCCTTGAACGGAATGCGATAAGCAGCCTCTGCTACTACGAGGAAACAATTCTCCCTCCTCTTCCTTCCTCCCAAGGCAGCCTAGACGCAAAATCCTGCCACGCATCATCTTTTCAAAATAAATACTTCAAAACTGAAAGCCGACCACTCCTTCCAAACTTCCAAAACCCCAACCCATCAGATTTCTGTGGAAATCTTTTTTCTGCCCAGACGATTCCAGAGAACCCGCTCAGCCCGTGCTCAGTAGAAGCATTTCCTCCCCCAGAGAGGAGCACTGTAAACACGAAATCGTAAAGGAAAAAGACGCAACTTACAGACACCCCGGTACTGCTGACCTCCGCGGCGTTTGCGAAACATTGAACCTTCCTTCCTACACAAGCCCGCAGGGACGCGGCGGAGGAGCCCCGCTGGCCAGGCCGGTACCGCGGGCGGAGTGCAAGGACAGCACCGCGGGCGGGGACGGGGCCCGGACAGGAGCGGCGATGGGGATGAGGATGGGGATGGAGATGAGGTCCCGCCCGGCCCGGGCCTACCTTGAGAACGGTGACGGCGCCCCCGGGGCCATGCACCTCGAAGGCGGCGGGCTCGTCCCCCGCGGCGGCCGCGCCGGCCTCGGGCTGGTGGTAACTGAAGCAGGCGGAGGCGATGTCCAGGTGCCCGAGGGGCAGCGGCTCCTGCGGCCCCTTGAAGTAGTAGAGGTAGCAGCGGCGGGGATCGAACACAAACCAGCGGCTGCGGAAGCCGCGCAGGGGCCCCTTGCCCGACAGCTTCTGCAGGTACCCGCAGAGCTTGGGAGTGCCGGGGCCGGCCTGCTCCCCGGCCGGACCCTCCTCCCCCTCCGAGCCCGCCGCCGGCATCGCTTCACCCGCCGCGGACGCAGCCCCGCACAGGGAGCGGCTCGGCCCGGGCCCGCCGCCTCTCGGGACTTGTAGTGCGAGCCCGCCCTGCGTGCCCGGGCAGCGCCGGCACCGCGCCCGCCCGAGCGCGGCCCCCGAGCGCGGCTCTGCCGCCGCTGCCGCCGCCGCTGGGAGCCCCGGCCCGCCTCGGGCGCGGCCCTGCCCCAGGAAATCGGCCTCTGCTGACGTGGGAAGGCCCTGCCTCGCTCCGCGCGTACCGTCCCGTGCTCTCGTGCTCCGGGACTCCAGAACTTCTCTGACCGAATCAAATACAGTTTTCCAAATCACACCTTGGCCTATGATCAAGTTAAACCCCTTCTCTTGTTTCCCGTTCCGAGCCGTATCCCCCTGCCCAGCATCGCAGCAGCAGCCGAAGGAGTGGGAAAAATATATGGAAAATGCAGGCGCATAAGGGGGTGAAAAGCTGTATTTTACAGGGATAAGGCTTGTGAATGGCTACAGACCAAACTCCATTTTTTTTCACTGAAATGTCTAGCACGTTTTGGGCTCTAGGGAACTTCTGGTGTTAATAATAAGGAATTTCTAAAATAGGAAACTTGACTGTGAAGACGCCAGGCTACCACAGGGAGGCATTCGTAACTTCATTTCTCCGTGTAACATATTTGGAACATAGTATATGCGTGTTTCCTTTAAACGTGCCTAATGCTCTGGTACTAATATAGAAAACAGTCTGATGTGGTAAATTAATCCAAAAATGGGAGGAGACTGTTCCGTGTTAAATGACACACAGCCTTTCATTTTCACCCTTAAATACAGCCAGGAAGGTTTGTTGTCAAAATTATTGTTGAAGCTGGTATGTGCTATGGTGTTTTTGTTAATATAATGTTATTTATGAAATAGCATCTGACTGAATTTTGACAGTTTGGAAGTTCCAGTTACCCAGAAATCCTAGATTCTCCAGAGCTTCTCTGTCCTCATTTCTAAATGCCTTAATGAATTTCTCATTAAAAAGTAACTGTCTCATCAGCCAGAAAATGCTTTCATTCTCTGGTAAAGTGTATAAAGGATATAAAGCACCTGAATATTTGGTATGGTTGTCCACAGGTATTACTTGGATGTTGGCACGAGGAACTGCAGCATTCTTCAAGTCCTCCCCTGTGGCTGTCGCCTCCGGACAAGGAATGTGCCAGGTGAGGAGATAGCCAGTGTTCTGCCAGCAGGAAAACATGAGTTATTTGTTATAGAAAATGAGGTGTGGAAGTTACCTCCCCAGTCAACTCACATGACATAAGTGGGATCCACTGAAAGATTACACATTGCAAATTAAGGCTAGATATTTTTCTTTTAGGATTATTTTAGTAAATGTGGACAGTAAGAAGGGTTGATCCTGCTTTAATAACAGGTCAATAATGTTCCTTCCATATATACTGCTCAGTCTCTTCTTCCTCAAATACTAAGTATTCATTATGCTCTTTGTTGGCAAGTGTCATCTGCCAGAGCATGCCTTACACAGGGGATACACTGATTCTCTTTAGAAGCTGCTGCTTTCTTATCTTAGTAATTTAGACAAGCTGAATGAAGTGACCCAGCACTTATCCTTGATCTGTTACATTCATCAGTGTAGTAAAGTGTGGCCTTGTTCTCTGTGTGCTGAGCACCCATGACTCCTGCTGGCCATCAGTGATTATGTCCTGCAGCAAATCAAAGAATCACAGGATCCCAAATCCTCAAAACTTTTGCTTTCAGTACTTCTCTTTTTTAGTTTTCTGTTTAGCTTCCTTACTACACTCATAGCAGGAGAATCCCCTAATTTCACAGCTGATTTGTGTAAGGTTGTTGGGAAATAAGTTCCTTATCTTATTTATGCCCTTTTTTTCACAAAGAGATCCAGATGTGGACTGGCAAATAGCAGCAACTTATCTCTAAGTTGTTTTGGTGAATATAAATGAAAACATAACTTTCACCTGCTTTTTCCTTCCATGTTTTCACATCCAGGATGCAGAGATGACATTCTGTTACTAAAGAATGTATAGAAAGCAAACAAAAATAGCGTATCACAAGACAAGATTTGCCTCCTGCCCAGAGGCCAGAGTCAATGAAGCTTTTGGTGTGCACATAACTCCTAAGCATAATGCAACAGGCAAGCCAGTGTTACACAGTGAGACAGTCATTATACTTCCAAAAGGACTACAAAGCTTGTCAAACATGAAAGTAATTGAAATTCCCTTTTATTCTGGTGTGGTTTTCTCTCCTAAAAGTTAACTAGTATTTTTGTTATAGCACTTTTGGCTGACAAGGCAAATAACTCTGCATAAAAATAAAAATGTGTTTACTCTCAAAAAGTAGTTGGAGTATTCCAGAAGCACATGTAGCTATTTCTACTCTCTTAATTTACTTTCACTTACCATGTGCATTGAAAGAAGCATCAGGCCAAAATTTCATTCAGTGGTACTAGCATTTGAATATATATATATTTTTTTTGTTTAAACAAATTCTTTTTAGCAGCTCATTATGCTCATAGATAAAAGTTGCAAACCAGACAAATTGCAAATCCCTGCTATGCATCACAGAGAATTATAAATCACAGCTGACAAAACCCCCCCAAAGTTCTATTGTAAGCTAAGAAAAATCATTAAAGAAAGGATATAATTTTTTTCATAAGTTCAAAAAAGAAAAAAACTGAAAATACAGGTATCCAGTAATATTACTCCAGTGTCACCATTATCAGAAACATATAAAAGAGAGATAGTCTTAAATATAAAGGAAATCCCATTCACAAAAATTAAATCACCTGTGAATCTTGATTTAAAATTACTGTTGGGATTGTCTTTTCCTCCTACTGCTATAATGGCCTTCTAAGATAAAAAAGTTGAGAAATTGGTCTCAGCAGTTTTGGAGGTGATTGAAGATCCTGCTTGGGGGCAGAATAAATCATTAAACATCCAGGGAAATGCCCCTGACTTTCTTTCCTTTGGCATACCCTTCATTTCCCCCCTTTTTAGTGAAATATAAAAAGAATTAAAGGCCACAAAGAATCACATTTGTAGATTATTGAATCAGACATCAATTAAATAATTCCACCTGCTTTATATCTTAGCTAAATAGGATAAGAAAAGGTAGAAGGTTTTGTAGGGTTCCAAATTCAGGTCACTGACTCAAGCTTCCTGTGTTTCATCAGAATTCATAACCTCCTCAGTTTCATTTTACTAAATCAAGGTTTTTGCAAGGCTCTTCTCAGATAACAGGCTCAATTCTCCCTGCATTGTTATTCTCCAGAATACAACAGAGGAACTGCAGAAACACTGGGTGTTCTACCCCATCTCTGCTGAAGATACGAATAAGAGTGAATCTTCAAAGGGCACACTAATATTTTCAAACTGATATAACAAATCTGCAGGTTTCTTCCCCGAAGGAGTTTGGTCAAAATATGAAGATATTGTTTAAAGTATATCCTCTGGCTTTACCAGAACTTGTTCTGTCAAATGCTTACTCATAATGCCAAGGGCAGTGGCATTAGTGGGAAGTCTGCAGCCTCTTTCGTATACACAATGTCCTCATTTCAAATGAGCAAAGTAAATAAGCAAGCAAATAAGAGGTAATGTTAGCTGAGTTCTGTACAATTTACAGGAAATAAAAACAGAGTGAGAACTCTGATGCCTGTGTTCTTTATGAGAACTCCAGTGTTCTTTGTTTAGTGTAGTAAAGCCTAGACTTTCAAACAAAATTTGTCAGATATAGATGAAATTGCAAAGAACGTTTTTTTTGCATTTTCCAGTACTCTCAGATTAGCTATTCCTGCTTTAATAAGCTCTTCAAAATAAAAGGGACATACTAGAGATAATTACAGTTCCTCTACAGTTCCTTATCTGTCATACAAAGTTTTAATGTTTTCTTCCATTTTACATACTATCTCATAAAGAATGAGACAGTAAAAATACTTGCAGTAAATCTGTTTTCCATCTCTGTCTGCATATTAGTATTTCTTCAGAAACAGAATAATTTATTATCTGCAGGTTTTGATTTTTTGTTTATGCATTCCATGCTTGAAAAAAGCAAAATATTATTTAAGGACCTCTTCTGAAGCCTGCCTACTGTGGTGAGTAGGAGTTCTGTGGAGATCTGGCACCCAAGGATATCTGCCTACTACAGAATTATCACAGTGACAAAAAAACCTCCTCTAAGCCAATCAGGCCGAGTGTATGGCATTAATAACCCACTGTTTAACTTGGTGAGTTTCTTGGAATGAAAACACACCAAAACACATTAACATCTCTGGACATCAATTATTCCCTCTGCTTTTTCAGTTAGAGATAACTGGAAATGGAAAAAATGCTGAGAATTAGTCACATGGGAATAAGTCATTCCACTAGGTATATTTGCAAACAAATTCTGCAGAAAGCCAAATTTTAAGGACTTGTAGTAAGAGGGATTTGTGAATGCAAATTCTAATGCAACTGTCATTATGAGGATGTATGAAATTACTATAGGGAATTTTTCTTTACTTCCTTATCATATATGATTCTAACATTAGAAAAACAATAGTCATTAAAATGGCCATAAAAGAGATGAAACATTTTAAACATATGAAAGGCCTCACTGAATTTCCTGGAATTGAATTTATTTCTGTAAATATACACATCAATTAACTTATTTGTTTAGGCAGAACAGTAACAGTCTTTCAGTTTCAAACTTCGTCTAGAGGGAATTCTTTCTGAATCTACAGCTTTTTGTATGCAGAACTTTTTATCTGTACAAAGGAAAAAAAAATATCATTTTCAGAAAACCCAAAATACCATTTTGGTTGAAATACCAGTATTCTTTTTCCTCTCAGGGCCTACTAGTCCACAATGACAGTGGTGACAGCACCAAACCAGACAAAGTTGAAGAAGAGTTTGGACCACACTCTCAAGCTCCTAGAGTGACTCTTGGCATATCCTGTGCAGGGCCAAGAGCTGGACTAAATGGTCCTGAGGGGTCTGTTCAGCCCCTTCTGTGA